AATTCTCTCTTTTTCTCTCATATGGACACAAGGAGGCACTCAACAATATAATTTCGTAAAACTTAAAAGAAAAAAATGAAACACTAAATATTTTCTATATATATATAGGTAATATATTCTGTAATTTTTATTTATTACATAAAATATATATTTTTATAAAAACGATATCATTGAAAAATAATTATATGATCTCAAGTATCAATTATAAAATCAATCATCGCGTGAGTTTAATTGAAAAATTATCCCTCTCAAAAAATCCGGTTTTCTTAATTCCTAATGAGCCAACGACATTCGGATTTCTAAGTTTCGAAGAAGATTGTCAAAAAAAAGGCGAGCAGCCCTCGAAATTTTTTATTAAAAGCAGCAATTAGTCTAAGTCCATATAAATCTTGATGACTGATTTCCGGTCATCAGTCGTTGTCAAAGAAACCTTTAGGCGGCGACCTCACACGGCATTAGGTGTATATATATACATATTTATTATATCATTATTACTATTATTATTATTATTATTATAAAAAATATATGTAATAATAAAATATTTAGTTTTTGAATTTTTCAGAGCATAAAATTTTGAGTTGCCTCAAAAATTTTTATGTAAAAGGTGCGAGACCTTTCAAAACAATAACAACTAGAATTAATTCAACAGGCATTATATCTTTCCATTGTTTTTTTTGGTCAAAATTATTAAAAAAAATGTTTAAAATATGCTTCGTACTATTTTTATCTTAGGTTATTATAAATTATTATGGAAAAAAATAAAATTGTTTCAAAATTCAAAATTAGCGAGGCAAAATTTCAATACAAATATTGACAAAACAATATATAGTATCCTAATTTTTCAGAACCGTAAATCAGAATAAAATAACAAGTGTATATATAATAAGTGACACGTTATAATCATTAAAATGAAGGACAAATGATAAGACCTTGAATTATGCATACCAGTAGCTCCGCATTTTGGCCATATTGGAACACCACGGACTTGAACTTTTATACTATCTGAGGAAAATCGACCCCTCCCCTACTGAGTGCGTGATAATCGTTTTCTAACTAATCCGTATCGAAACTTAGAAGCTTCGACAATAATCATAGGTAATGCTAAAACGCTCCAGGCACCAGTCGTCACCCTGAACCTGAACTAACTCAATATTTTTGTAACCAGGCCCTGGAGGTCTCATTGTCACTCTCTTGTTAGAAGTCCAACATTTCAGAATTTTCCCTCGAGGGGGTTTCCAATAAGAATATATTTCTGCACGACTCATGGCAAAGACATCTCAAATATTTCCAGCAAGATGCTAGTGAGATGTATATTCCTTCTCTCTCTCTCTCTTTCTCTCCAGAAGAGCGACCTCCCATGGCTTCACTGGACCACTCAGCATCGCTACCGTGCGCCAAAAAAGATTTACAACTTACACTGTACTTGAACAAGAGGGAACCTCCATAAAATTTATAAGACCCCATCATACATCCATTATTATTTTGCTCTCTCGCACAGTGGGAGTTGTAAATAATCGAAAGGTTGGGACAGTATGTCGTAACAAGGAGTGACGCATTTCACGCAATGGAATCTCTTTTTTTTTGGGATTCCTTTAAAAGTTCCTTGGAAAATTCTCACCAATAAGTTTTAGACTGAAGCGAGGTCGAATATATATACTTTTGTCTCGAAGTTGCTCTCTTCGAATTGTTGAAGACATCATCGACCTGGAATTGTCTCGAAGCATGGTTTACACTTTTAGCCCCCTTTGGGATGTTAGGTAGACACTTCATTGTTATACGAAAATTACTCATAGAACTTCTCAACACTAAATAGTATATACTGAAAAGACATATCTTTTCTGTTGTGCAAAAGGGCGCATTTGCTCGTTCGAAATGAATGAGAAGAATCCTTGCAATGATTGCTGATTAACACTAAAGGAATTTATTTCGAAAATTCTTTACAAAAGGGTGCGCTTATTTTCTGAGTCACTATTGGAAAATACCACCTATTTAGAAAAGTCGATCTATTTAATTAAAAATTGTGTTTCCATTAGCCAACTAACAACACGGAAAATTATAATAGGTATATTAAAATAAGCTGCAACGCTTATTATTTTAATCCAATTTTGCTTATTTTAATACCAAAATGGATTAAAATAAGCAAAATTAAATTAAAATAAAAAGCGTTGCAGTAGATTATTTTAATGCCTTTTAATTTTCTGTGAATTATTTGTTTTGCAGAAATTAAGAAATAAAATAATAATTTTAACACCAACTTTTTTTTGTGACTAAAAAAAAAGTAGAATTTTTACCCCAAAATCAATGTAAAAATTAACTGCAACAAATTTTATCCTAGTTGGGGGCGCCACCGTCTATGTGAATTAGCATTGGTTAAAATTACCCGCAACAAAAATTTATCCAGTGTTTTTTCTGTGAGGGTACAAATTAATTTTTTGTCTAACTAAATGTTATTGACACAACAAATTTACAAATTTAGATATATGTTTACAGAGAACAAACTCATAACATCAGAGGAAAAGGAAAATACTTTTTGACACGCCAAAATGGTATTTAAAACAGAATAAACAACTCCTGGTCACTTCAAATAAAAATAAAACAAAATATCAGTTGTTTTAAAAATTAACCAAATCAACACCTTTCCTATAATGACAAAATCGCAGGGTCATGAAAAGAACAAACAAATTATAAATATAATTAGAATGGATTCTGCATTTTATAGTATTAGAAACAAAAATCATCAAAACAAACAAAATTACTTTATAAACACGGAAAATAATTTATTGTGGAAAAAACCAATTCTAGAATACACAAATTGTAAAAATTGTGCTGCAAACAAAGAAAATAGTATTTCCAACAGGCAGGTTTGGGCAAATTACAAAACAATCTGTTTTTTTCACAAAAATTTTCCTGTAGGCCAAAAAATTTTGTTTTGTTCACAATTCCGATTTGTGTATTTCCCAAAATCCGCTGTTTGTGAATACTACAATAACACAAGAATATTTTTTTTTCCGTGAGAAATCAATTGGAATTTGATTCGTAAACCAAAATCTGTTACAATGCAATTCTTGTAAAAAACGAAATCGTTAATGTGCGAGCAATAATTTTGGTTTTTCTCTAATTCTATCATTTTAATTTCGATTTGAATCTCTTCGAATATCAAAGATAGAATTTTTCTACAATATTGAACAACAGTCTAAATTGTATAAACAAAACAAAAATGATGGGAAAACAAAAAATGAATTTCTGGTTTCTTCTCTATTAATAACAACCCTAAAAAAGCAACAATTACATAGAAAATTAAAAGGCATTAAAATAAGCTGCAACGCTTATTATTTTAATCCAATTTTGCTTATTTTAATACCAAAATGGATTAAAATAAGCAAAATTATAGACTCTAAAATAAGCGTTACGCAGCTTATTTTAATGCTTTTTAATTTTCTGTGAATTATTTGTTATGCAGAAATTAAGAAATAAAATAATAATTTTAACACCAACTTTTTTCTGTGATAATAGGGTACAAATTAATTTTTTATCTATAACTAAAATGTATATTGACACAACAAATTTACAATTTTAGATATATTTACAGAGAATAAGCTCACAACAGAGGAAAAAGAAAATAATTTTTGACAAGCCAAAAGGGTATTTAAAACAGAATAAACATTCCTGGTCACTTCAAATAAAAATAAAACAAAATATCAGTTGTTTTAAAATTTAACCAAATCAAACTAATTACAAAATCGCAAGGTCATGAAAAGAACAAACAAATTATAAATACAATTAGAATGGATTCTGCATTTTACAGTATTAGAAACAAAAATCATCAAAACAAACCATTTACTATTTATAAGCACGAAAAATAATTTATCGTGAACAAAACCAATTCTATAATACACAAATTGTAAAAATTGTTCTGCAAACAAAGAAAATAATATTTCCAACAGGCAGGTTTGGGCAAATTACAAAACAATCTGTTTTTTTCACAAAAATTTTCCTGTAGGCCAAAAAATTTTGTTTTGTTCACAATTTCGATTTGTGTATTTCCCAAAATCCGCTGTTTGTGAATACTGCAATAACAAAAGAAATTTTTTTTTCCGTGAGAAATCAATTGGAATTTGATTCGTAAACCAAAATCTGTTACAACGCAATTCTTGTAAAAAACGAAATCGTTAATGTGCGAGCAATAATTTTGGTTTTTCTCTAATTCTATCATTTTAATTTCGATTTAAATCTCTTCAAATATCAAAGATAGAATTTTTCTACAATATTTTGAACAGTCTAAATTTTAAGCAAAACAAAAATGATGGGAAAACAAAAAATGAATTTCTGGTTACTTCTCTAACATATAATAACAAAACCCTAAAAAAGCAACAATTACACAGAAAATTAAAAGGCATTAAAATAAGCTGCAACGCTTATTATTTTAATCCAATTTTGCTTATTTTAATACCAAAATGGATTAAAATAAGCAAAATTGGATTAAAATAATAAGCTTATTTTAATGCCTTTTAATTTTCTGTGTACTTTGAAAAAAAATCTACACCTGACTTTATAACAAATTCAAATACATATTAATTTCAAATCGATTGTATTCCTAATTAAAAACGATAACAAATAGAAATTTGTGTTCTCTATATATATATAATCAAATTTAATTTTCATCTTTGATTTTGCACACTATAGACCTTATCAGCGCAGCATTGAACTCACTAAATCCATCAAGTGCGTGTATACACTTCATTTCTGGCGCAAAGAAAAATATAAAAGTTGTTTACAGTTTTAATGTCATATATGTAAGAGTGCGTGGTATCAGAGCAAGGCACGTTCCGTAGGCGGATCCGTGGGCAGAGACGCCCATTGTGAAGCTCTTGGTTGCCAACCACGTGGTAGGGCGTAGCCAATAATGGGTCCCCTTGAACACTTTTCAGACCCAACAATCAGCCCCCTTGATGTCCCCCAGTTGTACCCCCTGATTGTACGAAACAGAGACACGAGAAGAAGCATCCTCACCGACACGTTATTGCCTCGGAACTTCTCGCAACGAGAGCCACGGGATTTTAGTTTGTTTTTGTTTTTTTTTTCCAAAAAAAATTTTTTTCCTTTTTTATTGAACCTAGAAGGCCTTTTTAATCTTCTACTGCATCAAAACCAGAAATTGTAACTCAAGACCTGATTCTAAGGATCTACCCTTACAATTTTCAACCCTTTTCTAGTCTTTTATCGTTTTTTAGTTTCTTTTATATATATATATATATATATAAAAGATATATTTTAATGAGAATTTTATATTTATCAAGTCAAGTGTTTGGTGCGAGTGACAATTTTTACTGACATTGTTTAATGCCTTATTATTATTTAAAGTGAGTGTCAGTTCATATAGTTGATGTTGGATTACATAAGCAAAAATATGGACGTTACGAGTGGCATGAGACCTATTTTTGGGGGATACCCTTTTCAAGGTTAGTCTCGGATTTTATAGATTTAGACAGATTTTTAAGTATATATATGGATATATTTAATTAAGATTTTCAGCTATCTTTAATTATTAATTGAAAAGGAATATTTTATACTTTTGAGTCCCTTTTCTTTTATTCCCTCTACACTCAGAAAAAAATTTGTTTGAAGCAACCAAATTTTGTTTAAATCAACAAAATGAATGCATATACAGTTAACCAAACATTTGGTACTAAACCAAACGTTTATTTAGTTCAATCAAATTTTTTCTTTGTTCAAAAAATTTATAAAAAATAAACCGCAAACATTTATTTAGATCAAATAAATATTTATTTGAATTAAACATATTTGAATTAAACATATTTAACACAAATAAAGGATCAATTAGAAAAATTTGGTTGATATCAAACAATTAAGTTATTTTATAATTAAAATTTAAATAAATTTGAATTAGGCTTTGATCCTATTTACCATATTTGATTAAAATAATAACAAATTTTTATATATATAACGACGAAATAATTTCGATGAATTATATAATAAAATAGGTTATGATACAAGAAATGTATCAAAATAAGAAAGAAATATATTTTTTGAATTTCTTTGTTCTTTACTATTTTTTTTTAAGAGCAATTGGAATTTTTAATTATCGAAGAATAAACAATAGCCGCGTTAATTAAATATATATATCGCCTACTGTTCTATCAAGGCAGTATCCCAAACGAATTATATACGCTTGTTATTTTATAAATTGAGGCTCGTCGAGAAGTATATAAACAAGTTATCTATAAATTCATCTACAATCAGAATTAAATATTCACTTGTAAATTAACATATGAATAATTTAATTTACTACAGCTATATCAAATTATACACTATATAAATTTCTATATATATAAATTACGCTAGTGACAAATTAAGTATAAAACACTTTTAAAATTATAATTAATTTCATTAAGTTAAATACACTTTCTTTTTTCTTCAAAAAGGTCCATGTAATATTTTTGCATTTTTTAGTAGAAAAAAAATGTCCATATTATTATTTATAACAAAAATATATCTCATTGTTACCACTGATATAATACACGAAAAAAAATATTTACCTGAAACAATGAAAAGTTTTACTATAATAGCGAAAGATTTCATTGAAACAAGTAAAACTTTTAATAAACTATATATATAAAAAATCTTTTTTTCCGCGTGTATATATAATTCTGGAAGATAAAATTTGCCGCACTGATAAAAAGGTTTGGTATTGACAACCAAACGTTTGGTTGGTATTTAAGCAACAAAAATTTTTTTGTTGAATCAACAAAATTTTGGTTGTCCCAATTAAACTTTAGTTACGACAACAAAAATCGTTTTTTTCTAATTTTGGTTGTGTCAAACAAATTTTGGTTGAGACAATTAAAATTTTGTTGAATCAACAAAAAAATTTTGGTTGCTTAAATACCAAGCAAACGTTTGGTTGTCAATACCAAACCCTTTTTTCAGTGCGTATAAACAAATAATTTAAAAAATTTCAAACACTCAAACGAAATTGAAACTAAGAAACAACAGATATATATTTAAAAATTTTTTTCTGGGGACTTTGAAAATAAGCTAACATATATAGAAAAGAAAAGATTTTTTTTTTAGTCTGATGAGCGTCACAAGGATATATAGAAGGCGTATATAATGCATAAACACAGTAATTATGTCGAAGTGTATATATATATATATATATATATATACAAGAAGGTCGATGATACAGGTAGCAGTGCCACGTACGAAGGGCGGCTAATTCGACTAATGATCAGACTTTATACTCGTTAGTTCGGGAAACGACCAGAACACGCCTACCCGCGAGCATAAATCCACCAATTTTACGCCTCTTATGCCTTTTTTTCGGGTGATTCCAACGCGGTGAAGAGAGTCCGCGGCCTCTCTCTCTCTCTCTCTCTCTATACTCTTTCGCTCTCTCGTCCCTGTTATCTGATTTCACGTTTTTAGTTGGGGATCCCCGCGCTAATTTCAAGCTCAATCACTGCCGCTGTTTTTCGAATCGTCGTCGCTCTTAACCGTATATATACACGCATTTACGAGTCCCACACCTGCGACTTATTTCAAAGACTAAATAAATAATCGACCGTATCAATTTTCATTGCACGAACATTTATCGTTAAAGAACAAAAATTTACAACCACTTTAAAAAGCTCGAGCGCACTATACTTTTTATATATAAATATATACTTTGAATTAATATAATATATACACAAACCGTGACAAAATTATATAGAAAATTATTTCTATTGCACTCAGAAAAAAGATATATGTTTGAACCAAATGTACCATTTTTTTATATTTACCCAATTTTTTGGTTACTCTCTAAATCTGAATTAGTAAAAATGTTTACTAATTTAAATTAGTGACTCACTTTTTGCTTTAGAATTAGTTAAATATTACTAATTGTTAGTAAAGGTTACTATAATTAGTAAAACTTTACTAATTGAGAAGCAAAAAGTGAGTAACTAATTCAAATTAGTAAACTTTTTTACTAATTCAGATTTAGAGAGTAGTTCAAACAAAATTTGTTTAATTCAAATAAATATTTATTTGATCTAAATATAACTGTTTGGTTTATTTTAATAAATTTTTTGAACAAAGACAAAATTTGATTGAACTAAATAAACGTTTGGTTTATGCAACCAAATGTTTGGTTAACTGTATATCAATGCATTTATTATTTTGTTGATTTAACCAAAATTTGGTTGCTTCAAACGAATTTTTTTCTGATTATGAGAGAAATTTTTTTTACGAAATAAAAATTTATAAATTAAACAAGGATTTTTTCCTATATTATTCTTTTTATAGGTCAGGGGCGAATGAATCAACTCGGTGGAGTTTTTATTAACGGACGTCCACTACCAAATCACATTCGTCGACAAATAGTGCAACTTGCCGCAAATGGTATACGACCATGTATGATCTCTAGACAATTACGAGTTTCTCATGGTTGTGTGTCAAAAATTTTAAATCGTTATCAAGAAACGGGTTCAATTAAACCGGGAGTGATTGGAGGCAGTAAACCCCGTGTCGCTACACCGGAAGTTGAAGCAAGAATTGAAGAAATCAAAAGGGAGAATCCTGGTGTTTTCTCTTGGGAAATTCGAGAAACACTTATCAAGGTATTTATATATAATAATTAAATATTCATTATTTTTACAAAAATTAAAATTTTCAACCCTTTTTTAAAATTTTCTATTTCTTATTCCTTTAATTTTAATTTTTTAAATTAAATTCAATTTTCTAAGATCAAAGTTTATATAAATCAAAAATCAATAATAAAATGTGACAGCGGATGGAATTACAGTTTAATAAAACGAATCAAGAAAAATGACAATAGTAATAAAAAATATCTAAGAAATGATTATTATTTTGATATTAAAACCCTATACTGATCCAAATTGCATTATAAAACGCATCTTAAAATTGAAGAGTCAATCATATAATCCTTTCGACATGAACAAATAATTGCTTCTTAGAGGAATACGATATCTTTAACCCAGCGAAATGATCAGTAAACTTGGTTATATACACTTTCACGATGGCAAATAACTGTTATGAACGCGTCTTCTCTATGATTGCTTCATTAATTTTCCATGACAACTCTCAATGTTTTTTTTTTATCTCCTCAAGCATTATATATCTATACAATTAATAGCTTCTGCAACAAAGTACTCCTATATAACCCCCTACAAAATTCCTTTCCTTATTTCGCGAGAAAATACTATAAACAAATTCTTAACTATATATTTCTATATATACAAAATAAAATGAATTCTTTTAAGAAATATAATAACTTCTTTTTTTTTTGACAAATAAATATTTTTCGCGAAGAAATGTTATATAAGAATCTTTAAATTATCGCAAATATTTATTTATTTATTAACTAAATAAATAAATGTCACTGTTTTCAATAACATCGGAATGTTTTCTTAGTAAAGAATTCCTTTGGTAGAAAGTTTTGCAAAGAAGAGAATTTCTTACTAAAAGTAATAATTTTAGTAAGATGTAAAAATAAATAATTACAATAAAAATGACTTACCGATTGATGATCTCGATGCAACTCGAAAATTTTTCCCATATGTCATGTACCAAAAGGCTCCATGCAATTGAGAAGGAATTCCAAAACATCTGAAATAAAAAAAAAAAAAATAATTGTTAGTACTTTTTTAATTTTTTTATTCTTATTTTCTTTCATTCAAAATAAAATTTTCTTTGAAACAACAAAACTTCTTAGTTTTAAAAAAAATTTCTTCAAGGAGAAAAATGAGTTTTCTTTTGCGAATTTTTAGCTCTGGTAGCTATTATTTATAGCTGCGACAGCAAAACATGTTAGCTATGGACGCTAATTATTAGCTGTATTACAGCTAGTAATAATTGCTATCCATATAATAGCAATTGGGGTTAGCTAAAGTAACTAAATTTTAGCTAATATAGCTAACTATTTTTCTCCGTGTTTGATTCAAAAAAAATTTGTTTGATTCAAAGAATAGTTTTCTTACACTCAGAAAAAAGATATGTTTGAACCAAATGTATACCATTTTTTTATATTTACCCAATTTTTTGGTTAGTTCAAACAAAATTTGTTTAATTCAAATAAATATTTATTTCATCTAAATAAATGTTTGGTTTATTTTAATAAATTTTTGGAACAAAGAAAAAATTTGATTGAGCTAAATAAACGTTTGGTTTATGCAACCAAATGTTTGCTTAACTGTATATATCAACTCTCTAAATCTAAATTAGTAAAAAAGTTTACTAATTTGAATTAGTGACTCACTTTTTGCTTCTGAATTAGTAAAATTTTACTAATTATTAGTAAATTTTACTTACAATTAGTAAATTAGTGACTCACTTTTTGCTTCTGAATTAGTAAAATTTTACTAAGTGACTTAATTACTAGTTAATTAGTGACTCACTTTTTGCTTCTGAATTAGTAAAATTTTACTAATTATTAGTAAATTAATATTTCATATTATATTATATATTATGTATATTATTACATATTATTTCATATTCATATAATATTTCATATTACCAATTCAAATTAGTAAACATTTTTACTAAATTATTCAGATTTAGAGAGAATGCATTTATTTTGTTGATTTAACCAAAATTTGGTTGCTTAAAACGAATTTTTTTCTGAGTGTATTGAATGAAAGAAATTTGCGCATTAAATCAGAGAAATTCTAACATTGAAATAGGGTCAAAGAAACACTTATTTGAATTAAATAAAAAATTACACGAAGATAATTTTTTTTCAATTAAAAATAATTTGTTTGAAACAAATAAATTTTCTTTGTATCAAAGAAAAATTTACCAAAGAAATTGATTCCTTTGAATTAAAGAAATCTTATTTTTTCTGGGTGGTGCGCAGGGGGATATATATAAATGTTAAAATATTAAGATATTCGACGAAGATCTTAGTAGCAGAAATATAAATTTTTCAACGTCAATTTGAGAATCACAATCTTTAATCTGAGCGGTGCAATAGCTTCCTTGCAACCGCATAACAAACCCTGAGGACGCGATTCGGTGTATTCGTCGAGGCGGATTATATATTTTCTATATATCCCGTGAGTTGTGGCGGCCAACGTTTGACCTCTCATCGGCACATATATATAGATACTTATATCTCGCAACGCGATCATACTGAATGATGCTTTTTAATATTGTGCACAAGAGACGAGTGTATAGGGGTACGTGAGTAGCCCTCGGCGACTCGTCTGTCCTCTAATACATTATTCCCGCCGACTACGTATATTTTTTTCTCTCCATAAAAAAAAAACAATATTTTCTAATGTCAATTGAATTAAAACAATTTTTAACAGATTTCATAATAAAATATTATAATATAAAAATTTAAAAATAAAATATTGAGTGCAAAATATGAGAAAAGTATATCTATAATGTAACGCCTGTTGGGCACGCGATTTCGTTTGTTGGCGCGCGCATATTTCGAAACATATTTCCGATCGTTATCTCATATATGCGGATCGCGGATCTCTCAGAAACAATAACGATCTTGTGTATGTGTGTGTGTCAGGGCAAACCCCGGTGGGTGCGGAGCTGGACCCGGGCGATGACAGGAAAAGAGAGACGAAGAAAAGGGCCCCAGGGCCCAGAAACGCCCCCTTCCAACATTAAATGCCGTATTAATGCCCGCCACGCTCGCCTTATACGCTTTTACCACGCGGGGTCGCTCTATACACTTTATATACTTTCCTTTCATTTCCTTTGCAACATCGCGTATTATTCTAGCACGTTTTTACACACACACACACACACACATACATGTGTATGTGTTTTCAAAAAAAGGTTTTGGTTTCTTAAGGGGGGAACACCAGTTGTAACTTTCGAAATATCGATTTTTTTTTTGGTGCATTTTCTTAAAGTATACATATTTAGAAATGTGTCTGTAAATTTCAAAGTTGATCCGGTGAAAAATAAATGAGATATACAGAACACTGCAGCGGCGCGTCCCGTGGCTTCATACAAGGTGGCCAGCCATACCTGACCCTAACGACAGATGGCCTTTTCCTATGATTTAGAAACGGCAACCACTGCGGAAGAGTTATTATATGGTCCAGGAATCGATGACTCTTTGTAACTTAGAAACAAAATTTCTTCTGAACAAAAAAAAGTAAGTTGAAACTTTTAATGCGTTTTTCTCAAAATGACATTTTCCAAGTCGGTGACCACGATTACTCGAATACCATTAAACCGATTTATTTAAAATTTAGTGTGCTTCATTTACACATATAAGTCTAGTTCGTGATCGAAGGATTTTTTTTTTTAATCAAAACTTTTTTTTATATAGCTGAAAATCGACCGTATTTTTTTAACGAAAATCATACTTTTGACTTTGACAGGTCGCCATTTTGTCAAATTTTTTTTTTTTTTTAAATCCTTCGATCACGAACTAGATAATCTTATAATAAATGTAAATCAATTTCATTTTTGTATTTCAGACGAAGTATACTTGCAGAATGCTGGTCACCGCAATTCGCCTTTTTTCTTAAGACGCCACTTCAATGGCTCATATCTCCAAAAGTTTTTGTTAAAAAAATTTTTTTTTTCTTTTAAATTACAGCTTTTTACATGTACTTTTAACTAATAAATAGTATTCTTTAAAAAGATTCATTGTTCTTTTGGAAAATATTCTTGAAAAAAGCATTATTTTTTGAGTTACAACTGGTGTTCCCCCCTTAATTCATAATTCCTTATTCTTTCTTTTCTCTCTTTCCTTCCTTTTTTTAGGAATGCAATTTATCTCTTTATCGCAGTAGAGGCATCGGCAAACGGACCCGAGGAATGGCTCAGATCCAAGAGAGAGTACCGAACAAACTTTTACGTCAATTTGTATTTTATGGGTCACATTAATTATTGTTTTCGACGCACGCTCTTTTTGCCGTCAAGTGTGTATTTCTATCCTCAATCTTTTCTTTGTTGTCGCATCTCAACAATTCAGTCGAAGCAATAAATATCTAAACGCGACTGTTTATGATTTAAAAAAAAAACTAATCTCTTAATTAGAAGGTTTCGTATGAATAAAACGATACACAGTAAAAACAAAGTCTTAAACCGTTTACACCTTAAATTAAGCCCATATATTTTGCATAAGTCTGTCCTTTTTTAATTGGTCTGACTCCGTTTACACCTTAAATTCAGCCTCAAAAATAGGATGAAATCAAGATTTCTTTTTTAGTGTGTAACATTCGGACCATTGTTGTTTTAATAAAGGTTTACTCCAACGTTTCGAAATCTAAATGATTTCCTCTTCAGGGAGTCAAATAAGAAACATATGTCAAGTCATAGAAATAATGGTCAATTGCGGTGTCAAATTAATAAAAACAAAACCACCCTAACGTTGGAGAAAAACATAGAGTTTGGAGTTCAAATCAATCAATCCATTTTTTAAAAACAAGTAATAACTGAACAGACACATTATAAACAAAACATATGATAAATAAATAAATAAATAAATCACACAATCTATAAATAAACAATATAAAATGAAAAAAATAAAATATTATGTGTTCTGTTCCCAACGTCAACTTTAAAACATCTCTTAATCTCTTAAAAAAACAATTGTTTTATAAAAGATTTACTTGAATAACAGCGGAAAGATTTCACTAGAATAACGAAATATATTTAACTGAAACAAGTAAAACTTTTGCTACTGTAGTGTAACGTTTATCCAGGTAAATCTTTTAAATAATTCAAATAATCCATTAACTATTTATTTTTAGCACAAAAATTATTATTGACATGGTGTATTTTTGATTTGAATTTTTGTTCAATTTATCTATTTATCCTACACAGAAAAAAACTGAACTCAGAATGAGCCGTCTATAGACGGCTTATTTTGATGTGCAACAAAAATGAACCAGGTTGGTGGCGCCACTGTCTATGTCGTTTAGCATTGGCTCATTTTGATTTGCAACAAAAATGAGACTAGGTTTTTTCTGTGTATAAAAAAGTGTGTCATAAACCGGAAATTAGAAAATTTTAAGTATTTAAATTATATATAAAGAAAAATTACAATATTTGCAACCATTGATGCATTTAGGATCTATAAATGATATATAAAATGTATAAAATGACAGCATACATGCGGCAGTAAGATAATGCTGTATATTTTACAATAACCAATGATTATTCAAATTCTTTGAATATATATGTATACCCTTGGGAAATAGATAACGGTGCAAAAATGCACTGCAATAATCCACAATAATAGAGTGAACAAAATATCATCCCACTATATATATATGAAAATAATAACCTTAAATTGTAAAGCAGTAGCCTGTTGTTGCAAAATATCTTGTATCATATACAAGAAAATTTCTTTATTCTATCATTATATATAAATTCCACTGTCCACGTTAAAAATTATAATCTATTATTAAGACGTGTTTACAATATCAATATTGTTTCTTATACGCCAAACCCATTTTAAGAAAAAATTATATCACATTATACAGTATTCACTTAATTAAATTGTATAGTTCAAAGAAATAATAATTTTTTATAGGAAAACTTTTCCGATCCACCGAGTGTTAGTTCCATTAGCCGACTACTTCGAGGTGGAAGACCAGGAGAAGATGGAAAGAAGGATTACACCATTGATGGAATCCTAGGAGGTGGTGAGTAGTAATTTTATTAAAAATCAAAAAACTATATTTGAAAAGAATAAAATTAATAAAAGCTCGAACTCTAAACATTGAACAATAGTACTCCGGAACATTTGATCATCATCCAAAATGGGGTCACTTGTCATGATTCTGTGTGTAAATCTCGTTAATATAGTATGATTTCGATTATTGAAATGCTCTCGCGAGTTGCATTCACGCGACTCCGCATAAGCTCAGCGGGGATGCTGACTAGCACATTTCTGGATGACTATGCTACGAAAGAAGATATTTGCTCTCTACTCTGCGGGCCCCTCTAATTGATTACACGCATCTTTTCACGCGATCTATTCGACCAATCGAGTATGCCTTTCAATCTTGAGTGCCTCATTGATTGTGCCTATCAACGATAAACTTAAAGAGTTAAAGAATCATAAGATCGGCAGCAATATGCAGATAATCACAATTCAATTTTTTCCATAATTTACTAACCAGAAAAACACAGAATTTATTGTAAACATAGTGTTTTTCTAAGTATAAATATAGTTGGATGTTCCAAAATTCCTTATGGACCAATATTTTTTTTGGATAAAATTCTTCGACATTACCAAACAACAATCAAAAGCATCAAAATATAAGTGAAACATCAAGATTATAGTTTTCCATTCAGAAAATATAAACGAAGGCTTTTTCCATATAGACAATTCGTCAGATAAATGTCAGCCTGACATACCATTTAATAAATTTATTGATATCTTGCTAAGAAGATTCAGAGTGTGTTCGCGCGAGGGATCGTCGATTGCCGATACAATCAATAATCCTGATTGTGAATCACTTAGTGGTTGGTTGTATTTTTAAAAGTGTGAGTGGCTTTCTTAACGATTTGTATATATGTATGAGTATCGGCTATACAGATGTGAAATCACACATATATATATAGGTAAGGGGGAAAGGGTGAAGTTATAGGGCAAGAGGAAAAGAGAAAGAGCGAGAGAAAGAGGGACCGCGGCAGGACCCATTAGGCTAATCCCTCGTCGGCGGTCCAAGCCAAAGGAAGAGGGAATAAGAAAGCCACAGGCTACGTGTCATTCCTGCTCGCTCGCCGACACCTATACCCCGACCAACACCTTCATATATACCGATGCTGTACGACATTATTTCTCACCAGAGGTGCTCTCACTATCGTCATATCATACTTCTAAAAAAAAAAATCCTTTTTTTGGTTTGCATCCGTCAAAAAATTTGGATTACTAATTAAATTTTTACTTACGGAAATATTCCAAATGGGGCATATAAGTTCAATAATAAAAATCAAATAGTCCCTCTGACTACACTGTTCAGTAAAATCTGCAAATACTAAACGTGTTCAAAAGTTTACTTTAACCTTTAATTGACAATATTTTTTTGTACTGAATAGCAACTTGCTGATAAGTTCTAATTATCATATAATTAAGTGATGCAATTACAACTGAATGGCAATAATTAATCTCAACGTTTAAATTGATTCTTTCTTTTTAAAGATTCCTTTCTTTTAGAAAATATCCGCCCATGGGTCAAAATGGATTGTATAAAAGATACAAGGCAGTGTTTACATTGATATTGTGGGGGTCATTGATTGAGAACCTCTGTGGACGTGTGGCAGGCGGTGCGTTTGATCTCCGCGGGACCCTCGCGGGGACCCATGAACCCTCTTTCTCCCTCTATCAACTCCCATAGCTCTCTCTCTCTCTCTCTCTTTCTCTATCTTTCTCTCTCTCTTTCTTGACTCTTTACTCACATTCTCACGTCGTTCGACGATCGAGCGACTCTCTCGACTAGCATCCGTTTTCTGAAACCACCTTTTGGATTCCGCACGACAAACCTGTATAACACGCCGACACATTCCTCTCTCATGTCCACGAGACAGTTTACAAGATAGAAACGGACATTTTACACGAGTAGCTCCTCTCGCCATCGACAAATAATTTATCTCATCGCTATAATCGCAAGGAGTTATATTAATGGACACTTTATTAAATGCTGCTTTTCTCATTTATCAAAGTAACATGAAAATATCTATTCTCTATTTGTCAATAATTAATTCCCAAACACTTTTCTTCTAATATAGCGGGATTATAGCGTCGCCTTATTCTTCTCACAATATATATTTTATTTATAATCGCAACAATTACACAGAAAAAAGCTGGTGTTGCGGGTAATTTTTCACCCATAAGATTTAACCCAGATTTAGGGTAAAATTTGTTTCTGGTGTTAAAAATAACACTGCGTGTAAAAATATTTGCAAAACAATTTTCAATAACTTTGTGAATAATATATAAATGTAATGAAAAAAATGTTGATCAACTCTCATTCATTGCGTCAGAGTCGAAAAAAAAGTCAAAAGAAAATATAAGGGACAGCATAAGGATAATGGTTGCATCTTAAGATATTGACACTCCTGTAATCCGTTTGTCGGGACGTGTATACAGATCACGCCCACCAGAGATTAAAATCCCGCATGCCGGGGCTTTTTTTTTTTTTAGCTCATTGAGGATAAGTATACTAACTTGAACACGACGCGATCAAACCAAAAATAAGCGTTCTCACTTTGTGAGACTCTAGCTCACGTGTGAGTGAGAACACGTCAAACTCCGTCGGTAGGAACCCGGAGGTTAAAAGCTCGCTTGATGCCGCTCTCAGACGTCGGATTCGCCGACCAAAAAACTCTTTATTTTTTACATCTTTAATTCTCCAAATCTTTTTTTTTCTCTCTCTCTCTCGTCCACTGATGACTCGTTTGCCGTCGCGTAATATTGCGAGAGATGCCTTTTCGTTTCATCCGACAGGAATATGAGCAAACGCTCATCCGAATTGTCTGTTTCATGTCCTTAAAACGTGATTTGTAAAAGCCGTCCTACTAATTTCATTAGTAAACCCGGTGGTCCACGACTTGGAAATTAAGAGAAAGACCTTTTTATACTTGGAAATTAATGAAATAGAAATTCACGGAAAGAAATATTGAATCATCCTATATGACATTATAAATTTCATTCCGCAAAAACAAAAACGAATGTGAAATAATTTTTTAGAACATTGAACATATTGTGAAATAATACAGTTTAAAAGATGATATAGTCAATCGCACAAAGGGAAGATTGTCATATAGAGAAGTAGCCCGAGGCAATATATGTTCAGTGTTGCCTTCCTTTCCGGAGCTTTCCGCGTGTCGAATGGACGGTTCAGATATCTGAATGGTGGAAAAAGATGCCGCACCTCGAAGGTTATAAATCTAGCCTTGGGCCCTCTCGAAGGGGATATACTCTTCTCGGTTGCTCCACTTGGGGGTCTTAAGCGTGTGTGAGGTCTATAGCTAAATGGTAACAAATGCTACTCCGGATGGGCAACAATGCCCGGCGGTCTGGTTGACATCGAATCTCAGTATGTCGTCCTGTCAACGCCCGGTGAGCAATGACAGAGATCGTTTTCATCCAAAAAAAAAAGAAAGAACAGACCACCAGCCTCAGTTTTTGGTTTGATCTATTGATTGCAAGTTGCAACACAATGATTCTGGCTAATGTACAAAAAAAAAAAATCACTGAAATGGAGGCATACCAAAACCACTTGTAGTCATATTGTCACCTGTCATAGTAGCAGCTATTATATATTTATATGAATTCAAAATATCCATGTATCATTAAGAGCGTCGATGGTGGTCCTTAATTTGAACGTGCCTCATCCTAGAGAGATGTCGACAGTTCGATTCCCTTACATACTGTTCGCACGTAATTCCTACACGTTCTGACGCATATTATATGATATATATTCACGAGAGCGCATAATTCTTTCAGGTATTAGCAACAGCCAATCCAAAAGGGAGAAATGACGCCTTTGATGTCTAATTTTAACTAAAGACTAGTCTTTGTTCCAAATGGAAACAATAGAACCGTTGATAACTCATTCTCCAAAGAAAATTGAACCTTCATGTAATAATTTATATCAATCATTGATAAAGATAAATTACATAATCTGGTCGACAAAATTTTCCTAAACATAGAATTCAATTTACAACTTTTGAAAGTCAAATTATTTTCTGAAATTTTCAAATATAATAACCGCTCCATCATCGTCATGATTATTATTCAATTATTTTATATAGTACAGTTATAAATCATATTTTAATCTCCGATTCAAGTAAACCGATTTTCTCCATTAAAGTAAATTTCACAACAAACTACAGATATTAAAAACTCGTTTTTTTTTTCGCAACCATATCATCACAACAATATAACCCGAGGGGCCTCATAATTTAATATCCCTTTAAATGTGGCGATAGTTTTTTTTTTCTTCTTTTCTTTTTAGCTCATCGTCAAAATGAAAAGCAAAGGTATAATAAATAATTCAAAGAGCCAATTGGTGAATTTGATGGTCGCTGATAATTATCAATTATCGCAATTAGGAGGCTGATCGACTGAGGTGTGACCTCTCGCTCTCTCACATCCGGTTTTTCTCCCCTCTCATCCTCGCGCGCATCTTATGAGTTGAACCCTTCACGAGATGTGAACCTTCGATGGAACCAGGTGTGCGCGCATTTTCTTACGTGTCGGAGGACGTTCGGACCCGATTCAAGTCGGCATTCCACTCCTCGCCCTCTGACATTTTCAGGGCCAGTCAAGAGGGGCCCTAAAAGGGGTTTCTCTCTCTCTCCTCCTTCTACTTTCACTCCACTCTCGTTTCATCTCCATCTTCTCTCTTTCTCCAACGCGCGAAAAAAATCGCTTGCAATCGTTTAGGAGGCCTCATATGTTGGACTTGTAATGAGAGAACGCTCAGGGCCCAAGACAAGAGGGCGGCACTCGATGAAATGCTTTATAGATTATCGACCATGCAACACCCCGTTCCGCTTTTGTTTCATATATATATATTTTGGTGCCAAGTACTTTTTCACTTGAAAAAAAAATTTATAGACAGTTTTTTGAAAAACAGTTTCATAATAATCCTCTTGTTATCTTCATTTGATACTTATTCAGTGTTCGTATATATATATATATAGATTATCCTATTCAATTGAGTGGAAAAAAGTATACATTTCACTTAAGAGGGGAATAATGACAACGGTAATAATTATAAAGACAAAGCTTCCTTTTGAGATGAGAAAAAAAATCTTTGAAAGGCGTATAGGGAAGCGGTTTCCTTTGAGTGTATATATGTTCACATTGCTCAAATGACAATCGAAAGAATGGAAGAATGACTCGGAGACAAGTTGCATCTTCAATAAAGGTGGCGGGCCCCTTTAAATTCTTGTCACCTTTCGACTCCTTCGAATAAGCCAAACGACACAGAACGCCGAAATATGTTTGGCAATATTTCAAAACACGCCTAAAAGCGGTACAATAATGCACCTACGCTCAATATATGCACCTGTCACACACTCAACTCTCTCTCTCTCTCTCTTTTTTTCCCGTCATTCAAAAATATATGACATACACACACAGAGAAAGAGAGGAAAAAAAAGAAAAATACGATTTCTTTCCCTAAAATGACGTGTGTAATCCTTATAGACTTGGCCTCCTTTTATTTATTATAGAATTTGAAATCTTCTTATAAAATTTATTAGCTTTTTTTCGATTTGAGGAGTTAAATCTTTTGAATCTTCTTTTTTTCAAAAAAAAGGCGTAAAAATCAATTTTGTCCTCTTCTTTTTGTAATTTAGAATTTTTTTCACTTCAAATAAAAATTCTCCAAAAACCGCTATAGTTTATAAATTTAAACATATATAAACTTGATTTTACTTAACTTTATATTTTAATAAAAATATACATTTTTTAAAACCAAAAGAAGTTTATAATTATAAATTTTTTTTGTTGTAAAAAATCTTCGTTCTTTTTTTTTTTTTAATTTTTCAAGTTAAATCCAAATTATTATAAACTTGTCGAACTGGTTTAGAATACCCAAAATGTTTTTGAAGATGTGGGACATAAACTTTCTAAAATTATAAATTCAAATGAAATACCTGTGTTTATTTCGTTCATCTCACGCACGATAAGAATTCGGAAACTACGAAAATTGTCTAAGAAAATAATTGTTTACAACAAATGTATTGAAAACCATTTTCAATTCAAACTTTCCAAAGATATATATTGACACCTACAACAATTTAAAAAATATTTACGTCAACAACAATATGACAATTGCATTATATTTATATATATCGGAAGTGCAACAATAATTTAAGAACTTGTTTCCTTTTCCTGACCACAAACAGCTCTGTTCATTTTTTGAAACGTGGGAAAAATATTTCGATGACCACTAAAAACGATTGTTAAACGAATTTATTTTTTTTTTCCGCAAAGAATATACATATATATATAATAATAATATATGTATCGGTCCCTTTTGAGAAAACTGTGTATGTTTACCATTTTTCTGATTTTTACGACTCCTAGTTTCATGTTTAGCATCATGGGATAGCTCATTTCTTACTCGTTTTTCTTTTATATTCTTTACGGGGGCGGCCCATTAAGAAAGAGCGATGCTCCTGACCAGATCAGATCGACTTTTCTTTTTCACCGGATTTCTTCCGTGTGATGTCCAGTCCGCATATATATATATATAGAAGCGGCGGCTACGATCAAAGAAATCTCGTGTTTTCCTGTTTTCCTTACGAGCACAGTACGACCTGATGTCCCATACAATGTATCTTCGTGCGGTTTTCTCATCCATTGTATAATACGAAAGAGAGAAATATATATCGATTCGATTGAAGGCCAAAGTGTTTTCGATATAGTGTGGTTTGTCCGATCCCTTTTTTTTTGAGGGCAAGGACATTTCACCTTATACCCAAGAGTCCTCACACATATAAACATATATATATGTAGAATCAAATCGAATTTTTGGACACATTTGTCAAAAAGTCACTATTATGTATAAGGGACCAAAATATAATGCTAATGGAAGAATTCTTCTTTGATGAACGTGGGAGTTTTCCTCGGGACTAATATAACATTTATGGGGCCATTTGTATACAAAAAATTCAAAAAAAGGAACAAAAACATAAAAAGATTAATTTGAAAACTGAGGGATAGTTGTGATGATATGATTTATATATACATTTTATAGCGTTGAATGTTTTTTAATGATTGCACATATTACCGTAATTTATATCATTTTAGAAAAGTAATAATTTTCGCTTTTAAAAAAAAGTGTAAATGATACTTGCTATTGTTATTTATATTAAAAAAGAAAATTTAAATTTCAAATTAGTTTCCGAAAATTTACATTTAAAGAACGGACTTTATCATTTTTTATAGTGCACTCAAATTTCGTTTTAGAAATGCATCTGTTTATCCATAGAGAAGATGAAACGAACCTTAAAATCTATTTTCACGAAATAATTCCCTGAATGAGTAAGCGCGCCTTTTGTAGACTCAGCGGCGAAAAGTTTGTGTACGTAAAAAATCGTGTTACTTCCCTAAGGAGGGAATCAGCTTTATATTCGGTACTGTCGATATACGCAAACAAAATATATATATATAAAGAAAATAAACTGCATATAACACAGGTAAATATATGTCAAAACAAGATTTAACAAAATAAGTGAAAAAATCTTACGCCCCTAAAAAAAAATATATCCAATGGCGTTTTGACGAACAAAAATATATTATACATAATTTTTTTCGATTTCTGTCCGTAAATATGAACGCCAATTTTTTGACTGACTCCCAAGATTATCACGTCAAAAAAATACAACTAAATTTTTTGTAATTAAAATTTTTCCAATAAATTAAAATATTTACCTTAATAACAAAGTTTCAGCGCGCTTCAAGAAGATATTTCTTTTAAACTAAATAGACCTCGGAGATCCCTACTTTCAAGTTAAATTTCCATTCGGAAAATGTGAAAAATAACCGTAAAAATAGACCGAGTTCTAAAAAGTCTGAAACTGATCCTGTGTCCTTTTTTACTTTTGCCCTTATCTTTGAAGAATGTAACACCACAATTCATCGATGATAGAATCTGCAAAAGAAAAATTAAAATACTGTCAGTGTTGTACAAACATAGTTAAATCTTTAACGAGTCGGTAATATAGAAAGCTAAAAAAAATTTCATTTCCAAATTTAATAATAATTTTAAAAAAATAATCAATTTTTTCGACACATATATACATTTTTATTGTGTTGGTAATTTTATTGTTCAGAAAATAAGTGGAGCTAGTGAAGCAATCATATTGATAGTATATATATGTTACAAATTACTACTATACGCCATTGGTAATTTTTCCAATTGTCGAAGGATCAAGCATTGATTTTACATGAGAAGTACAGTGGAGCATGAAATTAAATACCATTTTAGAAAACATTATATGAGAGAAGGATGAATGAAAAGGAAAAGGGAGTGCGGAAGCCAAACGGAGAATAGGAACAACTGTCCAGTTCTGATCCTCGTCACAGGACAATGAGATCCCACAACTGACGAAGATAGGATAATATACCAGGGACAGAAGATGACAATGGACTAAAGTCGACTTAACGCAAATATTTGTAAACGCGATTCGCTGACCAGTTTTTTTTTCACATATATACATTTTCTGTATCTTCATTTCTTTTTTTCATTCTATATATATATAAGCAGAAAAAAGTAAGAAAAAGGATAAAAGAAAAAGTACTTGTGTGGTTTTTGGCCTCAATCGCAGAATTTCTCAAGTAAGTGAACAACAATAAACATGAGAATCTTTTAGAGACAGCTGACTGATTTTTTTAAGTATTACAAGAATAGACGAAGCAGGTCCATTAAAAGCGCATTATTGTCGAATAAAGAAAAATTTTCCTCAGAAATCGCAAAAGAAAAACGAAATTAGCGCAAAAGAGGGCATTTAAAGTTACAATTTTTCAAAAATTTTACAAATATTTCAAAAATAAATTTACTAAGTTCAATAATTATAAAAGGAAAAAAAAAAAGAATTTTTCCACTAATTAAAATGATATTATCTTTCGTGGATAAAAAAAAATACTTTTCTGAGAATATTCCTGCTAAACGAGCGCGATAATGTCTTTTCGGTTATAAATGAAGAAAAATGAGCTTTCATTTTAAAATCGTTAAAATGCATCAATCGTACATGAAATCACCGACAAAATGGCCGTCAACTCCAAGATGGTGGTGAAATTTTACGAGAACTTTATGGATCCCTGTAATGAGCGTAGCACGAATATACGAAACCCATTTCAAGCGAAATGTGAATGCAGACGAACGTATTAGAAGCATGCTCGAAAAACTATAAAAACAAATGATAAACTAACCAATACAAAAACGTTGCTGAAGTTAGAGTTAAAACATTTTTAAACACATATACATTCGCATATACTAAAGTAAAATTTAAGAAAAATCTCCATTATTTTAGAATTTAAAAATTTATTACGTTTTTTATTAATAAAATAATATAAAATATTATTAATTTTTATTAATTTTATTTATTACAGGAAGATGTGGAGAGGATTCAGACACTGAAAGTGAACCAGGAATTCCTTTAAAGAGGAAACAGAGAAGAAGTAGAACAACATTTACTGGAGAACAACTCGAACAACTAGAGGCTGTTTTTCAAAGAACTCAGTATCCGGATGTTTATGCCAGAGAAGAAGTCGCTCAAAGAACAGGCCTTACTGAAGCAAGAATACAAGTAAGTTCATTTTCAAGTCATTAATCTCCCATAATTTATGTCCTCGACTTACATTTCTATTATTCCATATCACGCCGAAAGAAAGTAAACAGATTTAACACCTTTTATAATAATATTGTTAACAATTCATAGGAATAAAAATTTCAAATTAGATTCGATTTTAACTGAAAAAAAAAAATTGTTTCAGGTTTGGTTTAGTAATCGAAGAGCTAGACTGAGAAAGCATGCCGGAAGTGTGTCTCATCCAATGAGCAGTCTTCCCTTGACACCATGTCAATATTCAACGGGTCACGATTTGAGTCAAATCCCACAAGTGCCCCAAATTCCAGGAGGCATTCCCCAAGTGCCAACAACACTGCATCAAGGTTCAACGACACTTCATCAGGTGCCAACGAGTCTACATCAAGTGTCAGGGACTGTGGCCCAAATGGCCAATTCAATGGCTCAAGTACCTACAACCATGAGCAGTGCTTTGCAAGGTCATGTGTCTCTCCCAGGACATTTGAGTTCCCTAAGTTCCCATTTGAGTCCAGGACACTCGAATGGAATGCAACACAGTCAGGTTCCTGGGATTCAACCACCTGTTGCCCATGGGGCACCCACGTCACTCTCTCATTCTAGTGGTACGTTATTATTGATTTATTTTGTCAATTAATTTATTTCAATAATCTCTAAAAACTTTTTTTTTTACTATTAATATTAAAATCGATTCTAACAAGATGTGTTTTGTTAATTGATTTTTTACAGGTAATAGTGAGTGGTCAAGAGCACAGTTAGGATGGAGTCAATTTAATCATTTCCAAGGTGGCGAGTATACTTCATCGCATGCCAGTCATCAACTGGCTTCCCACACAAGTCATGGTGCTCAAGTTTCGAGTAGCGCAAATACACCTTCCACAGAATGGTACGATCAAAATTACGAATACGCGCAACATGCCCAATTCAATTATCATCGGAGTATTGGTGGAATATTTTAATTTTTAAGTGTAGAAAACCAAAATTTTTTATATATCTATTATATATAAATATATGTACATATATATAAATATATATTGTAAATAGAAAAATATATTATTATAGAATATCAATCATGCGTTTTTATATTAAAATCAATAACCTTAAACAATCTTTCCATCCTCATTTTACGAAAAAATTAAATTTTTTTAAAATATTAATGTAAAAAAAAGAAAAGTATATATTCACACACTGATATGGAGTTCATAAATCTACATTACTTTAAGAGAAAATATTACTGCAAATATTTTGAAAAGGTTTTATTGCAAAATCATTGTTTCAATAAACTAACAAGATAATTTCGGCAAATAATTATAATCTCTTTCTATAATTTACGATGGCTTTGCAAATCGTAAATTTCAATGCCAAGGTTAAATTTTAATAAAATTAATAATCTTTCTATTACTAAATTTAATTATTTTTACCACATTTTCTTTAATTAATTTTAATTTTCATTGTTTAAAAGCAAGGCAAATTGATATAGGTATTAAATATATGTGATAATATAGATAATACTAATTTTTTTAATAATTTTTTTTTTCAATAAAAAATTTATAGTCGATTGCGATTACGGTTTATTAATTTATAATATCGTCTACGAGTGAGGCAGTTAGTTTCCTAGGTTTTTAAATATATTCCGTGGAAATTGCTTATCAAAAATTTATGGCTTTTGATCCACTAATGTAGAAAAAAAGTCTTATCAAACTATCAGCGTCACGATTTTAAATTCTTGCCAACACTCATATATAATGAAAATTTAGAAAGATTTAGATGAATTACATTTACCAGACATGAAGTGCACAGTATTAATTTTTGGTTTTCTGGTAAGTCGTTATATTTTTTAAAAAAAGGTCTAAGTACTGACCCCTCCAATTCTACTAAACTATAATGAAAATATGAAAAAAAAAAATTACAGGTTCTTTGTTCTTTAACTCATTTGGTACAAGGAAATGTTCTCTATAGAAACAAAAGATCAGGACCTCCTCGATTGACACCGTTCATTATTAATAGTTCCGGAAGCCAGAATAGTGGAAACGCTATTTCCAACGGAAATGATGATGTTAGTGGAAATCTTGTGAACGGAAATAGCAATGGAGATAACTCTAATTCCGGAAATATTAATAGACCTAAACCTACCACGTCAACAACTACAACTACTACTACCACAAGTACAACGGAATCAGATTCTGGAACCAGCGGCACTGATGATACCAACAGTTCTGGTAATGATCAAAATAATGCAGATCAAACCTCTCCTCCAACTATAACTGATCTTCCAACTACGACTGATCTTCCAACTACGACTGATCTTCCATCTACGACTGATCTTCCATCTACAACTGATCTTCCAACTACAACAGAGCTCCCAACTTCTACTGATCCTCAACCTTCATCAAACCCCACTGATGATGACTCTTCATCCTCGATAAATTCTGATTCCACTGAAACAACATCTGCCGAAACATCATCAAACTCTCAAGATTCTTCAACTGATCGGGAACCTTCTACTACATCATCTGCCGAATCTTCAACTACTTCGGAGACAGAAACTTCTTCAGATCAGAAATCAACCACTATTACAGATGATGATTCTACATCAGATTCCGAATCAGATGCAACTTCTACAACAGCAGGTACAGACGCAATTACATCATTCTCGAAATCATCATCCACTTCCTTTCCTTTAAGTAATTCGTCACCTATCAATAATAATTCAGATTCTAAAGACAAAGAAACTGGAAATTCTATTGGTACAACTGTAAAAAATGAATCTGACAAACACACAAATTCTGAAAATAATAACAGTAATAACAAAAACACTACGTCTAATGAAAAAGGAAATAAAAAAAATGGAATCGGTGGAATAATTGGCAATATAAGTGACATAATTCACGACATTGTAAACATTGTACTAAAAAATGTTAATAATAATTATTATCAGCTGGAAACGACAAAATCTGATCAACGAAAACTTGAAGAAAAATGAAGAAAAATGAAAATTCGATCTCCACTCAAAAATTCTAAATCACTCTCTTTAAACCAATATCCCAAACATCTTTAAAAAAAATTAAATCTTATCAATGGAATATTATAAAATCTCAATATTATACAAAATTATAATACGCAATGTATTTCTAATTATATTACAGACTCTCCGAGGTTATCACCGTTTATTATAAACAACGCCGGGAGCAACAACAGTGGTAATGCCATTTCTAATGGGAATGACGATGCCGATGGAAACCTGGTAAATGGAAACGGAAACGGCGAAAATCAACATTCTGGAAATATTAATTCTGGTACATATAATATATATCCAAAAGGAAAATAAAAAAGAAAAATATTTAAAAAATTTCTTAGACTATTATTTTTCAACAATTTCTAATAATTATCAATTTAACAATAAGAATTAGTTAATAAATATGAAAAATAAAGTTAAAGTAAAATAATAATAATAAAAATTAATAATAATAATAATACTAAATTCTAGGATCAAGAATTATAACAACTTTCATCATAAACAACTCGGGTGATAAAAATTCCGGTAACAACATAACAAACGGAAATGATGACACTAATGGAAACTTGGTAAATGGAAACGGAAATGGTAACAATACAGAATCTGGAAATATATCCGGACAAAGAAATAAACGAGAATTACAACCTCGAATTATCAATAATTCGGGCGACAGTAACAAAAACAATAACATCAATAACGGAAATGATAGCAGCAATGGAAATTTGATAAATGGAAACGGAAATGGAGAAAATTCCGCCTCGGGAAATATTAATGAAAATAATATTCCTCTAACGCGAATTATAAACAATGCCGGAAGTAATAACAATGATAACAGCATTATCAATGGAAATGACAATTCAACTGGTAATTTGGTAAACGGAAACGGAAATGGTAACAACAATCAAACCGGTAATATTTCCACAAAAAGAAAGAGGCGTCAAATTTCGCGAATTATCAATAATTCCGGTGATAGTAATCAAAAGAACAACATTACAAACGGTGATGACAATTCTAATGGTAATTTGGTAAATGGAAATGGAAACGGTAACAATAATCAGTCAGGCAATATTTCCAGAGGAAAGAGTAATCAATTGTCACGCATTATCAATAATTCGGGTGATAACAATCAAGACAATTCAATCAGTAACGGAAGTGATGACAGCGATGGAAATTTAATCAATGGAAATGGAAATGGAGAAAATTCTAATTCGGGAAATATTCACCAAAAAGATATTCCTCAATCGCGAATTATAAATAATTCCGGTGGTTCAAATAGTATATCAGACGGTGATAATGATATTAATGGAAATTTGGTGAATGGAAATAATAACAAAGATAGAAATAACACTGGTAACATTTTGAAAAATTCACAATCACTCGATCGTATCATTAATAATGCAGGTAACAATAATACAGCGAATAATATTTCCAATGGAAATGACGACTCTAATGGTAATTTGGTGAATGGAAATAAAAATGGTGAAAATTCTAATTCGGGAAATATTGCAAAAAAACGTGATTCCTCTCTATTGCGAATTATAAACAATACTGGTAGTAATAATAATCAGAGCAATATTTCCAATGGTAACGATAATATTAATGGAAATTTGGTGAATGGAGATGGATCAAGTGGATCAAATTGGCACGGACAAGCTGGATCTCTTAATTTAACTTTATCGAGAATTAATAATATATGATATTATATTAATATTAATATAAATCTTCCTTTAAAAAGAGAAAAAGATTCGAATACAAAAAAAATAAATAGAAAAATTAAAAAAATAGATATGTAATGCCTATATATGTAAATATTATTCGTAATAGTTAAATTTTAAAATATTCTGTGATTAATAAAATATTTTCTTTTTTTAATAGAAATAAAGAGTCAATGACTTATCCCGTTTTACTTCAATATTATTATCATTTTTATTGTCATCAGATTATCCACAATTATTGTCAATTTTAAATACATGACGAGGTCATTACAATAAAGGTCGTGCAACACTTTTATTATATGTCATCCACAGCAATAATTATTATTATTATTTTACGAAAGAGAAAAAACACTCTCAATTGGAGTCATTTTCTAAAATTAAAACAACAAAAATTTTTTCTACACTTTTCTAAATTTTAAGGTGTTATTTATTACTAATAAATAAATAAATAATATCATTATAATAGAATATAAAATTAATTATTAATTATATGCTATTAATTAAAAGTTGTATTAATTTTTTGTTATTTAAAAAAGAATGCTGTCTTTATTCTAGTAAATCACTCCCTCTTAATTCAGCAAATATCTTTTTAAATATTTTCATTTTATATAATCTATAGTATTTGAAATTTGACGACACATAAATCTAGTCACTTACGAACTATATATAATCACGTCAAAGGCATAAAAAAGAATTTTTGGATTTTTTTTTTTCTCTAACAGTCAGTGTCTAAACGGACGGTTTTGAAGTTCATTTAAAAAAAAAACAGATTTTTTACATCCGTATTAGGAAAAAGATTATTATTCTTTCTCATATTATTAAAAAAGCATATTTTTCAAAATGTTATATAGATAAAAGTTTAAAAAGATTATTACATATATGTTTAAAATATTAAACATTGTGTATTTATAAGAAAAAAGAAATCTCAATTATAAAATTTTGTTCAGTTAAAAAAATGTACAATAAGAAAATTGCACATTAATTCTTAAAATATACAATATTTTTTCCCCATATTGTACGATATTTATTATAATGTCCAAGAATTCTTTTTACTCTGCAGTTTCATTCGTAGTACATTAAAGTTTTATTTTAGTATATATATATAAATACGGAGATGTCTACATTTTGAAAAATGAAAAAAAAAACCAAAAGAAATGGGTATATTTGAAAAAAAAAACTCTAAATCTGAATTATATAGTGCAAAAAAAGTCATCCACTAATATTAGTAACAACTTTCACTAATATTTAGCCAAATTTTACTATTTGATTTGTATTTTTATAATCACTCTAGTGGAAAAATGATTAAAAATTAGTAGAAATTTTCACTAACTTGAATTATGGATGAATTTTTATTAATTCAGATTTAAAGTGGATTAATACTATCACTAAGTTTAAAATTTTAAGCCGCAATGACTCATTTTATCCAATTTTTTTTACTTTTTTTTGTCTTTGAAACTACTATTAATTACAAACTACGAAGATATCGTCTGATTTTTTTTTTTTATTTTCAATATAATGGGCAAGAGCAAATATGAGAATTCAAAGATATTTTTTGATATACACATCGAAAATTGCTCATTTTTCAATATATAATAATGATATTGTCGCAAAAATGATTTGCGATTTTATAATATTTATATATATATATATATAATGTTTATATGTATAATCTTGATTCTTAACCTCAATATCAATTTGAAAATGTATTACCATGTCCAGATTAACATTTTTATTGTCGATAACGATATAATATATAGAGATGATGCCATATGTTTATATTTATATAATTATTGTATTAAAATGACGTTTTTGAAAATGTCAAGATCAAACACGTCGCACTTTACAGTCCAAAGAATATTGTGATTATATTTTGTACGGATACTATTGTCCAATTTGTACTGTATTTCAATAGACATTCTCCTCAGTTAAAAAAAAAACAAAAAAATAAATTATTGAAAAAAATAATAATTAAATAAACTAAATGCACTGAAAAAAAAATTTATTTAATTCAAATACCGGTATATTTGGTTATTATCAAATAAATATTTACTTGAATCAAATATATAATATTTGAAGCAAATACCATTTATTTGATTCAAGTAAATATTTATTTGATAATAACCAAATACCCCATTGTTTGAATCAAATAAATTTTTTTTTCAGTATAATGTTAATAAATATTATTATATAATAATTATAATAATATAGTTATAATTATTATTTTAATACAATAATTATAAAAATATTATATAAAAAAGTAAAATAAAATAAAAAAAAAATTAAAACTTAATATCCAAACTTCAACCAGCCCTAAGAACAACTAGAGTAGAAATAATGTCCCCCATTCAAAATATTCATTTTCAAATTAATTTAATAATTATATCTAATAAGATAGTTCAATTATTATGATATGGTACAGTGTAATATCATTCACTTCAATTAAAAAAATTATTGTCTCTGACACAGCTATTCTCAACAGTTGATATAATATGAATATTTCGTATTGTAACAAGAATAGTTGAAAATAGAAAAAAAAACCTTTTTCTTCTTGAAAGATACATTACTGAATTTTCAAATCAAAATCTACCAAAAAAAGCAGCATAAAAATATTCTACATTTTTTTTTTTTAAACTGCAAGTAAAGCCCTCTTTCATTCAATTTCAAAATACTCTCGAGGGGAAAAATTACAGAAACAGGCCGATCGGTAAGAGAGGAAATCCAGAGTCGATAAAAAGTTATAAAACAGAAAACTCCTTCATCGATAAAAAATAAAATGTATTCATCTAATTTAATTGATATAAAGATCTGAGCAATCGACTTAATTGTCCTCTTTTACTGATAAATCAATATATATAAAACGAATAAGCAAAGAAAATAAATCAATCAACTAGCGAAAAACTGATTAATAAATTGAATTGGAATCAATGGGAAATTTATGTCGATAAGGATTATTATTAGCTGTCGATAAGAATGGAAATTTTTTGATGGCGTGACGACAAGCCTCGTACATGGACTGAAGGTAACGTGTTTGTGACCCGAGCCTCGATCTTAACGCCCAAGGCGCCGTGTTGGTGGAGTCGTTGGACGTGGTCCCATCTGCGGAATTCGTCCTGGAATTTACAATTTTTTTTATTATGGCAAAACAATTAAATTAGTATCGACAAAAATTCCTTCTTTCGCACCAATCAAAAACAGAAATACAAAAAGAACAGCCAGAATTAATTGGGGGGGAAAAAAAAAACCACAAAAATGAAAGACTAAAAGAAGAATGAATATCCTTATAAGGGATTTGTACAGAATCCATACAGATGAAACTCAAATAAAGAAAGTTGATAAAAATGAGATAAAATTTTTTATAAAAAAAGCATGCAACAATAAACGCAGAAATACTTTGTACGGGGTAATTTATGTAATATCAATAGAATTGGTAACATTTTACTATAGAGGATAATAAACTAATAAATGACGATTGAAAATGAAATTAGATAAAATAGAAGAATTATTCCAGAAAAAAATAGGGATATAAACGACAAAGATATCACTCATCCTCGCATATAAGTAACTTTAACCTTTTTAGAAAGATAATAGTTTCAATGATAATGAACTGTTGTATTAAAATATCGACATTATTGACAGTTTGTTACTATTATATAGTCACGTCTGATAATTTTCTCTAAAGATTTGTATAAAGATAGTAAACAATAATCATAAGATAAAGTTCATCTGCTTAATGTCATGTAAGAAAATAATTTTTTATAACAAAAAAAAAAAAAATATTTTTTAAAAGTTACAAATCATCATTTTCCGCAGTGAGGGGAGAGAGAGAAACATTAATGAACATCAAGATGTTTCTAATACGACTAATATGTTCTAACAATGATCTATATAGGTACTGTGAAGAAAAAAGTCTATTTAGATTTCATTTTTTATAAACATTCAGGTGATAGAACCAAGAATATTTGTATATTTCCAAAGAAACTCAATTTAAAATGTTTTCTTAATATTAAAAGAATTGCAAATTTTTGTTTAGGATGAAAAATATAAAAAACATCATAAAATTGGAATTCCAATAAATTTCATCTTTTGTACTTGATACCAGAAATATAAAATTGTAAAAAAATAAAATTAAAAAAAAAACAGTATTTTTTACTAATAAAAAAAAATGTTCCTTTCTAGCCCATTTCTAGTATCTAGCACATTGAGATAAAAATTTACACATCAAACAAATTTCTAAAGAAAATTCTAGAGGAACATTTAAACACCTATCTACGTGAAGATTCGAGAAGGCATTTTCTAATCAACATATATACTTTTCTATTTATCTTTTATCACTTGGCTGATTAATAAAACGCTTAATTATGATGGAGGAGCTTACTACACAATAGTAAACAGACACTACGTTACTACTATTATATAAGGATATAAGAAAAAATATAAATGAAAAAACAATTATTGTCAGTTTCACATAATTTTAGATTCCATATTTAAAAAAAAATGACTCAACTAAATAATAAACAAACAATAAAAATTAACACAAAAAAAATTTTAAATAAATCTTAAAATATTAAACTTTTTTAGAATTAATAAAATTAAATAACTTTTTTTTCTCATTCAGTGATAAAAAGAGCATCCCACACGTGTTCTTATAAGTCAACGAGATAAGAATCTTATCATTTCCACAAAGATGAAAAAAAAGTACTCATTGACTTATGCGTCTTTTTTCTCGGTACGTGTTTTATTTTATCACTGATTTTTGAAAAAAAAACTATAATAATTCTTTCTTAAAAAAGATAAAAATCACACGTTTGCGGAAATCTGAAATTATGTGAAAAAGACGAGTGTGTGTGTGTGTGTATGTGTATTTCCTGAGACCTATAGTGGTCTGACCTGGAGACAAGATATCTTGGGGAGCGAGAAAATCGAGTTGCTCTTAAAGTCGGCAACCATCCGAGACGAGCTAGTGCTCCAATATGTCTTTTAGTTGGTTGAAGCAAGTTGTCATATACCTTCCTGGTATCACTGCCCTGCATCTCCATCACAGGACCTGCTCCTAACACCAGTTGGAATAATCTTTCAAAGCAAACCTATCGACTATATATATATATATATGTATATACAATATATGTGATAAACTGATAAAGGAATAGCTCAAAAGAGAAATAAGGAGCAAGAGAATGAGAAATAGAGGCTGGGAGATAAAAGAGGGTGGAAAATACACAATGAACACATTGGATCAATATTGAGCATTATTGTTTTTAGTCCCTATAATGACAATTGTTGCATCAACATTATTCTTATATATTCATGTAGCATTACACTATTGTAAAATAAAAAAATTTTTAATTATAGCTAAATTTAATTAGCTAAACTTATTTATCATTTAATTGCCTTTTTTATTCTGCTAAAAAAAATGCCAAAAATTTTCAAATATTTCTTTAATTAATTACATACACTGAGAAAATTATGCTGTTGAATAAACAGCATTTCTGCTAAAGGCATCAAAATTATTGATTCAAAAGCATATTACAATCTATATTATATTTTCAAAAATTCTAATGCTTTTGAATTAGAATTTTTATGCCTTTAGCAGAAATTTTGATTTAATAGCATATTTTTCTCAGCACAGAAAATTAAAAGGCATTAAAATAAGCTTATTATTTTAATCCAATTTTGCTTATTTTAATCCATTTTGGTATTAAAATAAGCAAAATTGAATTAAAATAATAAGCGTTGCTTATTGCCTTTTAATTTTCTGTGAGTGTAATTATCCCTTTTTTATTACATTATATTACACTAAAACCCTGGTGTTGTGTGCCTTTTTTCAAAAATACAAAACTCATTAAGCAAATTAAAAATTCAGATAAAATTTTTATACACGCTAAAAAATCTTCACCTAAATCAGCGATATATTTCACTAAAATAGCAAAAGTTTTCGCTATTCTAGAAAAATATATCGCTGTTCCAGATGAAGATTTTTTTGCGTGTATTTTCTTTTACATTTGTATGCCAATAACCACAAAAGCAACAAAAAATTTTCTTTTTGGAAATTATATTTCTAATCACGTAGTAGTATTTTTAAAAGCCTCATAAAAAAAACGACAAAACCACAAAATTTATATCTTCAACGAAAAATAGAACCAAAAATTCACTGAAAAAAGCAAAATCAAGAAGAAAAAACAACGTAGAAAAAGCGTCAGCAAATAAAATACAAGAAATCATAAAAGGACAAAAAAAAACGAAACTAAAAATCAACGGTATTTTATAATGAATAAACAAATCTTTTAAATAAGCTACCAAAAACCACTAGCATTTGTAAAAAATTAAATAATTTTTTTTTTAATGCAAACAAAATTATTGCCAACTATACTATTGGAAGAATTTCAATTTTCAAAAACAAAAAACTCACCCATGAACCTCTTCTCTGTTTTGGGATATTGTTCAGCGAGGGCTTCCAAAAGCTCCTCATAATCGAAAACATTATTATTTTGCATGACCGGTAATGGATATTCATCACTGAAATCAATTTGCCTCTTCGGCCTTCTTACATTCTTATTTTTTGCAAGATAACTTAAAATGAGGGGCATTTTTGATCTACCAGAACGTTTATGTACAGTGGGCCATGCTCGATTTTTCGATAAAGATGCAACATTTCTTTTTTCCTCATTTTCAATTTCATCATCAAATGGTAAATTCCAAAATCTTAATAATGCTCGCTTTCGTCCTGTACCAGCTGGCATTGGCGGTAATGCAAAATCTCTCGCTAATGACGCAATATTACGTTTACCACCGTAACTCCTCATAAATGATGCTAAATTACGTTTTTCATACGATACTGGCGATTCCGTCAAAAAATCACTAAAATTTCGCTTTCCTCCAGGAAGGGCGTAATCTCTTGCTAATGATGCCAAATTTCTCTTGCCTGAGAAATACACAATTTAATTTTTAATAACAATTAGAAAAAACTAAACCCTAATATACACAAAATCAAATCACTTCTACCATACATCTACATTTTAAAAACTTTCAAGATTTTTAAGAAATATTTTTAAAAAAAAATATTTTTCATTCTTTTAGAATCTATTAAAACTCATGGTAATTGATACAAAATTTAATAAAATCTCCATATTTCTCAAGGTAACACAAGTCAGTTTCTTAGTTGATGCACCATTTCTCAATGAATCGATCGAAAATAAAGTAAGTTTGTAAATAGGTTATAGTTTAATTTTCTTGAAATGTCAAACGCATTATAACGAAAGTGACTTGATGCTAATTATTTATAATAAATTCATATTAAAAAATATTACAAAATATGGAGTAATAATTTTTAACAAAAAATAGTAAAAATTTTAACAATATAAAATATTTATAATTTAGCAAAATTTTCTTAAAGAATCTATTAAAATTCTTAAAATGCATTTTTGTTATAATAAATTTCCAAATTTTAATGTAAACTTTAGTTCAGAATTTTTTTTTCTCTTTTTTTTTAGAAATTGACTCTAATTTATAAACAACTATATTTTAACAAAAAAAAACATGCGCACGGTGTTGCGGGTTACACCATCCAATTCTCATGCAAATCACTTGAAAAACGTTTGCTTATAAAAACGTGCATGACTAAAAATAAATATTTCCAATAAATTTAAATAAATTGTCACTCTCAACACGTTCACGTCTACAATTTTTATAAACACAATAAACGAGCTTGCAAACTTGATAAATTCTATGAATAAAAAAAAAAAACAACGCGAAATCCTCTAAAAAAAAAAAACTACTAATTATTACACTAAATGCACATAGTTGAATTCAAAAATTATATATTCTCTCACAATTTTTCTTGTATCTCATCCGAAAATTATAAAAAAAAAAAGAACTAATAATTGTTTCTTTCTTTTGACCTTTACTACACTGAAAAAAAATTTATTTGATTCAAATACTCAATTATTTGAGTATTATCAAATAAATATTTATTTGAACCAAATAATTTTTATTTGAATTGTATTTGAACCAATAATTTTTGTATTTGAAACAAATACCATTTAATTGACTCAAAAAATAATTATTTGATACAAATAAATATTTATTTAATAATAGTCAAGTAATCGAGTATTTGAATCAAATAAATTTGTTTTTCAGTGTACAAAAAAAAAAAAAATGAAATAGGAGAAAAAAAGTGGAGGTTAAAATTTGAATTAATTTGCACATTTAAAGTGAAATGAAAACTAGTCTAATTAACTAACCATAAGATGGTAAATTTGATTCCCTGGCTAAAGAAGCAATATTTCGTTTATCCTGTCCATAATCCCTTTCTATCGCCTCAAAGTCAATTTGTCCGTTAGGAAGTGAATATTCCCTAGCAACAGCATGCACATTTTTCTGATCATTTTTATGGAGAATTTTCAAAAGCAGATCTAAAGTTTCATTATCAAATTCAGAAGCCTCATCATTATTTATTCCATCTTCCCCACCTTCGCCATCAGTTGGTCCATTCCCAACTTCATCGCCTTCCTGATCCTGTGTTACTGTTGGCATATCATTATTTTTTGCAAGAATTGCCAAACTTCGTTTAATATCAGCATCTTGATATGATTCAAATGGATTTTCAAGAATTTTCAATGCCCTTGCAACTGCACTCAAATGACCTCGCATAGCTGGATTTCTAAATAATTCAAGATAAACGGCTGCCGGAAGACAAATTTCACCATCCTCACTATCTTCTAAATTCATTGCTTTCCAATTATCCATTTCATCACGATTTTTTGATTCCTGAATTAATCCCGCTGTTCTTGAATACGCGGCCAAATTTGAACTAACTTCCGGAAGACGTAGAAGGGCCAAAAATGTTTTTTTCGGTAAACATCCGCTAGTAGCTTCGTCATCTTGACATGTTACCTAATATAAATCATTAACATAGATTTTTATTTTTTTCCATAAAAAAATCCTGGTCCCAAATTTTATCTAAATTCCTATAATCACTATAATTATTCTTTTCTTCAGTATAAAATATTTCATCCCAAAATGAACAAAATTACTAATTCAGAAATGATTCTGTTTCAAATATGAAAATATAAAGTTATTTTCTATTTATGAAATCAACTTTTATCAAAAAAAAAAAAAATCAGGTTACTCGTTAATACTCATAACACAGATGCTGATGACAGCAGTTACAAACTACGAAAGTCCTCAATATTGTTCTCATGATACAAACATATTACACAAACTGGATTCAACAAATAAATAAATTTTCCCCGCATGAATAACATTAAATTGAATAATTAACAGAAATTAATATTTTAATTCTTAATCTCTTAATTAATATATAAATAGTATAACAATTTTCTCCCTAATTTATACACTGGAAAAACAATTTATTTGATTCAAATACCACCGGTGTATTTGGTTATTATCAAATAAATATTTACTTGAATCAAATACATTTTTTTTCAGTGTATATAAAATTATAGACAGATTTTCATTGAAAATTTTACTTTAAATTTTATTGTAAAAGTTTTCGCAAATACTCGAGCATTTTAATACCTAATAATTAAAATGCGATCAAAATTAATGGAGCTCTTGAAAATAATTTTATCGCATTTTATCGATTTCAATAAAACTTGGTAACACACTCACGCGTTTTAATATCCACATTACTGTGTTTTTAACGGTCTCTCTTTTGCATAAAAGATAATAAAAAAGAAAACAAAGAATAGAAACAAATTAATTAAAAATCCTTTCCAATGAGTAAAGAAAAAATATATAATTAAACTCTTTAAAGTACAGTTGTCTTTGAATTAAAAAATTTGTTAGCTTCCTCATCAATTTAGTCATAAAAATAACATTAATTAAAATCATTAAAAAAAAAATTTATTACAATCATAAAATTCAGTTAAATTTTGAAAATATTAGTAAAAATTAAATCGAACTCACGGATCTATTTATCCTAAAATATTTGAGAAAAATGTTGAGATAAAAGTTGAAATTAAAAAGTTTGGAGTAGTTTTGCTTGAAATTATCACATAGTTTGACAAAAGTATTTAATTTAAAGTTCCTATAGATCATAATGAATTATTACGAGTTGTCATATTGTCGTCTCGAAACGAACATTAAATTAGCAACGATCTGCCTCAAATGCGATTTTGCGCGTGACATTTGAACGTCAGACACAGCTACGTCAATTTTATGCATACGCACAGGTGGAAATGATAATTATAATATATAACACCATAAACATTAATATATATATATGCAAATTAATAAAACTAAATTATCAAATTTTTAATTTTCATTAAAAATTATTTAATTAATTTTATAATTCTCAAAGTGCTTGCAAAAATTTATTTTGTTATTTTGTCATATCAGCGTTATATTGAAAGTTGAAGGATTCAGGGATCGTGACAGCTACATGACTTAATTATGGATAAGATAACATTAAATTGATTCACTTGTTCATCATGTCTCATTAAATGATTAGAATTTTTGATTTGACCATAGAATATAAAATATATATTTAAAAAAAAATTTAATAATACACAAAAATGCAAAAGTTAACCAAAAAAATATATAAATAATAATTAAAACTGTTTTATTTTTTAATTAAAAATTTTTACATTAAAAAAATTGTTACTTTTTATTAAAAAATTAAATTCATAATTTTTTTCAATAAAATAGGAATGAGTCAAAAATTTTGAACGTTCAAATGAAATTTTTGAAACTTCTTTAAGTACGAATTTTATTACAAAATATTGTTTTTAAATATCTAGAAAGAAATTATTAATTTAATATTTCTTTAATTTACTGCTTTATTTTACATTGACATTATAATTTTTAAAAAAATTTATAGATTGAAAAAAATATTTTATTCATTTTTGAACGTTCAGAACTTTTGGCTCATAAAAATGAAAAAAATTGTTTTCTAAAAACATTTGATTTATTCAATTGTTTATGCCGATTTAACAAAATAACAAGTAAATTAATAGAATGCACGAGATGCATTTCAAATTACATTTCTAGACAGATATTCAGAAAATCCATTTCCTAAACTTGACTATTATATAGCTTCCCATTTGTTACGCTTTACGGCGTTAGTAACAAACTATCAGCTAAGAAGCTTTATAGTTTACTGTATCCTTTCACCTTTAACAGTATGAAATTCCTCTCGTTGTATGTTTCGTATAATATTTTCTTCATTTAATCCTTTGAGACTCAAATTTTTTATGCAAAAGGAAAAACAATGTTTTTTCATTATTATTATTATTATTAACAACTTTATGATCTAAAATAATAAAATATTTGAAAAAACAAATTTTTCCCTTTTTAATAATTTTTAATATAAAAACTAATTAAAAATTTTAAAAACAAGAATTTTGAATAAGAAATTTAATTGTAAAAATATTTCAATTTAAACATAAATTCACAAAATGATGAAAGCATATTTCCAATTGAATATTAATTGATGAAATGGAAATTCCAATAAACTGTAGAAACTGCATTAAACTCTCATTTAAATGACAATGATGGAAGAAACAAAAGTAAAAATTGATTGTATCATTGAAAAAAAAAAATTTTACTAGAAAATTAAATTACTGATATATATTTTGCAAGCACTTTGTTATTTTCATTTCTTTAATTACCGCATCATGGCCAATTAATAAACTATTATTTTATTTTTTTAACTATTAATTTCTTAATATTTAAATTTTTAAGCATATTTATTAAATTTATAATATATATTAATTACCAGAAATTATAGAAAATTCATAAAATATATCTCTATGATAAACTATATACATATAGTATATCTGTATGTGAGTTAATCTTCAATGATTTATGAATGTCGAATAAAAAACTTTTTTATGAAACGATTATGTTCGCTTCACTGCTTCTAAACACATATGATGCGCATAAAGCAGAAATTTAATCGAAAATTTCTAAATACAAATCGAACGACGTGATAAAATATATCAAAAAAAAAAAATGCATAACAATTTAATGCTTTTATATTATCTGTAGAAATTTTTTTTCATTTAATAAACCTTTTTTGTAAAATAAATTTATTAATTTTTCTCAATTTGCGTCGGATCCACGTTTTTTTTTTTTTTTTAATGGGTACAGATGTCATCTGTCCGTTTCTAAAAATAAACAAACTGTCCAGAAAAAAAGAGGAAAAAAAAAAAATAGTGAAAAATCATGGAGATCGTCAACCTATTTCACTAAACAACCTTTTGACAAGAACGTGACAGGAATTTTGATAACTTTCAACCATAAAAAATAACATTTTTCTCTCTTAAAACTGCAAAAATCTATTTTATCCTTTTTGAAAAAAGACATTCTCATTTATTATTGCTTTTAATTAAATTTTTGTAAAAACAAAATTTTCCAATTTTTATTAATAAAAAATTAAAAAAATATTTCATTCACTTAAATAAACCGTAAAAATTTAATAAATATATGTATTTTTTTTCAATATAAAAAAAAATATTCTAGAAGATAATTGTTTCTGACCAAGAATATGGATGTTCCACTTAATGTAGAACGTTTTTCAGTGAAAAGAGAAAGTTTCGCTCAGACAATGCGCTAAGTGTCTGACCAAACACTGAGATTTCTACTTAAAGTCTCTTTTCCAATAGAACAAGCAACTTTTATTATTCAGGAAGAAAAAAATTATTTACATTACAAATGTAATTTTTTTTTTTTTTTATTGAAAACAGTATTATTCAGACGACTTATTTCAAATCAATTTTATTGAAGATAGTATTATTCAGATGACATATTTTAAATTCATTTTATTGGAAAAATATTATTCGAATGATTTATTTAAGTGAATAAAATATAATTTTTAAAATAAACTTAATCTTTGAAAATATACTTTAAAAAAAAAACAATTAATGTAAACTTTACATTTACAATCTGAAAATGCAATTAAATTTTACCAAAAATTAAAAATACCTATATGTCAAATATTGAATTTAATTAAATCTAAATTATATCCATAAAAAAATTTTTATTAACGAAAAGAATTTAATTTTGTTAAAGAAGTTTAATTTTACAACAGAATTTAATTTTATTAAAGAAAAAAAAAATTTAATTTCGTTTAAGAAGAAAATTCCAAATTTTTTAACATTCGTACAAACGAGTATATTTTTTCATAGGATTCAAATAATATTCCACAGAGAGATATGAAATATAAAAGTATCGTCGAAAATAAAATTAATTTTTGAAAATTAACATAACAGAGAAATAAATAATTGAAAAATCAAAAAATTCTCTCATTGGAGGAGACTTCAACGCCAGTAGAATAATCAACATAAGAGAAATATGTAAGAATATAGAAGAAAAAAAGAAATGAAAAGGAAAATAATAAAAAGTCAACGATTCCTTTACAAAAGTATAACGGAGAGAATAAAAAATAAAAAGTCGAATTTCCACAATTCACACAAAATCTAATAAGAAAGAGGAAAAAAAAATCATAACAGAGAAATAAAATTAATTGGTCGTAAACAGTTAAAAAAAAAAATAAATAAATGATACAAGTTAAGAAAAAGTATCTAATGACAGAATAGCGCGAGACTTTACGTTCCGTTGACTTTGACCCAATTGGTTTCCGATCATTGACGATACGTCTTTTTGAAATCTATGGGAGTACGATCCATTTTGCAAGCACGTATGCAATGACAACAAAATGAAGGAGGAGATTGGGAACGAAATTCTGAAGAATTCTACTCGTAAAGCACAAACCAACCTTCACTCTTTCTCCAATTCACTCTTTTCCTGACACCGCACACTATTTTAAACTCCCAAATCATGTTTTTTTTTTTATTCTCACAAAAAGTTAACATCGTTTATTGGATTTTTATTCAAATTGTACCGAGAAAAATTCAACTGGTCCCTATACAAGATAAAGCTTCTAAAAAATATCAAAACGAAAACAGAAAAAAAATGACCAAATTTTTTTAAAAACAAAAGAAAATAAAAAAAATTTTAATTATCACAAATTTTGTTTCACTGAAAAAAAAATTTATTTGATTCAAATAATTATTATTTAACTCAATTAAATGGTTTTTGTTTCAAATACAGAAATACAATTTATTTAATTCAAATAAAAATTGTTTGGTTCTAGTAAATATTTATTTGATAATAGTTAAATAATCGAGTATTTGAATCAAATAATTTTTTTTTTAGTGTACTTTTTACTAACTTCAAAAGTTAAATAAAAAAAATTCAAATTAAATTTTTTATACTTATATTATTTATATTAAATTATTTATTTTTAACAACTGAATATGAAAATAAGAGGATAAAAATTATTTTTCACAACAAATCACAAATTGAAAACAAGGAAATAATTCCAATTGATTTATATATTTTTAATCAACTAGCAAATTGTATTTTTATTGAAATACACACCAACTCCCTAAATAAACTTTCATGGACCCTTTTAAGAAAATTATATCTGACACTCTATAAAAAATGATCATTTTTACATCTAAGGACAAATGGACTGAAATTCGTTACGATTGAGAGAAAGTTGATTAATACCGTGAGAGAGAAAAAAAAATACATCAAACCAAAATCAATAATGCTTTTCATCGACATTATATATATAAGTCTTATACAAAAGTTCAAGAAAGCCTTTTAATTTGTCTATCTGATAAAGGAAAAAAGAATTTATGGAATTACTGGTGGAGAATGTCTGCTTACAAAAATTGATTCTTTGGAGAGAGCATTCTGAAGAAAAGAATCTTCTTTTATAACGACAATTTTAATTCATAAAACATTGAATATTCAACGAGAAGAAAAAAAATAAATTCTCATTTTTATGACTAAATTAAATTTTTAATTTATAAACGCATTAAAATTAAATAACTGAAAACTAATCACTAAATAAAATTTTACAATTGTTTGCTCAAATCTCTTTTACAAGACTGTCCTTGAAATTGAAAACTGATTGAAAGGATAAATTCCTAATTCAATAACAGATTTCTTTATTGAAAAGCAAAGGTAAAGATATTTTCTCTAAAATAAAAAAAAAAAAGAAAAATACGTTGGATTAAAAATATATTTTTATCATTTTTTTTTACTTTTCATTTACAATTCGAATAATTAAAATATACAAAACTAATTAGCATTTACATACCCATTTTAAAAGCCTAGCACCTCTTTGTTTTTTGTAATTTAAATATACCCCATATTTAAAAAAAAATTTCCTTTTTTAAAAAAAGTTTTTTTTATGGCAAAATAATAAAAATTATAAGAGAATTTTAATGTAAATTTCATTGGTTTCTCTACTTAAAAAAAAAAAAAGATAATAAAGAAAATGTATGTATAAAAGTTTTGAATTATAAACATTTTTAAGAATGGAATATTTAATTTAACAAACTTTTATCATTTTCAAAGTTATATATATATATTTAGTTGTATAATAAATTTGTTAACAATAAATTATTCCGAACAAGCGCACAGTGTGTTTTGTCACTATTCCCATTTTGTAGTGCTTTTCCTCATAAGAATTTTAAACCTGTTTAAATTACGTGACTGGTTTTACGATACGAAACTTACTTTTCTATTGTCTTTAACTTCGTATATATACGGAGCTTCTATTGACGCGTAAGATTATTTAAATTACAAAAAAAAATATTAATTAAACTTTCTCAATAAACTCGTATCCCAAAATTGATTTACACTTATCTCAAAATCCCCGTCCGAGTCAATTATATAGAATATACATTTTTATAACTTATATTTTTACAAAATATAATTTACAATCAAGATCTAAATGATAAATTTTCACTTTCCCCCATCAATTTAAAAACAAAATGCAAGTTCTTCACAAAAACTTTTCGAATTTTCATCTCAACAATTCCTCACATCTTGATAAAACTTTATAAGACTCGAAAAAAAAAAATTCTGGAATAATAATTTTTATAGCTAACTTTGTAAGTTTTATTTTTTGTTTGATATAAGTAATCAAAATGTGTAAAAATTTTAATTTAATTTTAGTTTTGAAATTTTATCTAACTTTCTATTTAAAAAACAAAAAAAAAAAACAATATTCTTTGCGTTTTGGTAAACTTGACCTCTGGTAAATTGTAAGAGGAACAAAAGATAACATGAGAGGCACTTTGTGCATTTAAAGCTGATTACAAAACCACACCGAAAACAAGGTTGGCCAAATTTATGCTGATGAGAGAAACCAACGGGAATTTTCGAAATTTCTCATGCCTAAGGCGATTAAACTTTAAAAAAATCCATCAAATCTAAATAATTTAAAAAGGATGAAAATTTTTTCACTTATATAAAACAATTAAAAAATACTATTAATTTAAATTATAATAATTTAAAATAATATTTATTGTTTAATCACTAAAAAGAGTAAAAAAAAATCCACATCAATTTTCTTCAATTTATGGGAAAACTATGGTAATCATTAGAACTTTATTAATTATTATAAACCTACTAAAATGCTATAATTAAAATTAATAATCCAATAAATATTCTTTTTAAATAGATAAAAATTTATTTTTCCATAGAAAGGAAAAAGCTTCTTAACTTTTATGAAAAAAAAATATAAATCAACTTGAACTTGAATTTACTTATATCCAAATCGACCTAATTAAATCTGAGATTTTTACCTGAACTCACATCGACATAAGTAATGAAAAAAAAAGAAAAGAATTATTATAAATTTAAAATTTATTTTCATTTAAATATTTTTATCTAATATTTAAAGAAGAAATATTATAAAATAGTGAAAAAATCATTTTTATTATAATGACAGGAATTCAAGATTAAAAAAAAAGAAAAATTTAAATAGAACAATTTTCGTGAAGTTGAACTTGGCCGTGTGCAATTGATTTCAATTAATTTCAAGTGTCATCTTTGATTTCTCGTGCTTCACGGACAAATCGAGAAAGGACTCACAACTATCAAGTGGAACCTAAATAGTTTGATTTCTAAATTACACTGCACACACTTTGGATTAAATGACGTAAAACATCAATTTTATATTTATAAAAGAATAAAATTTTTCTATTTTAAAAGTTAAGAAAAGCTATAATAAAATAAAAGTAAAAAGAAATAATTTAATTAAAAATATGAAAATAAAAGAAACATTATTTTTAAGTAAACAAAAATAAAAGTATTTTTCAAAATATAGTAAAATTTATTATAATTAATTCGATTTTGCGCGTCATTAAATAAATTCAAATTTTATCCTATTACTTATTATTAATCTTAATGAATTCACATCTATTATAGAATTTTATTTTTTGTTTGATTAATTCTAACATATTTCGTTTATAGAATTAATTCTCAATACAGTAATTACTCAGAAACTAGCAATTATTTCCAAAAGCAACTGCAAATGATTTGCGAGAACTCTCCAATTGCTTCTATAAATCGGATTAAATAAGACCTTGTGTTCCCCAAAGAGATTATAGTTCCAGGGTCAAACATTAATTTGTAAGTATATAAATAGAAATAATGCAAAAAAAAAATTTTTTTAATTTAATTCACTTTAATAATAATATAATCAATATGTAGTAGACAAACGAAGAAATTTAAAAATGACAAAAAATGTTTATAAAAATACTAGTAAAAACAAATGAAATTTGAAACTATAGATAAAATAAAGATCTCATCCATAATTTGTTTAATAATAATAACTAATCATTTTAATTATAATTATTATTAAATTAAATAAATATTAAATAAGAAGAAAATTAAATTAAGAAAAGTAGCAATCATTTGAGTAATGCTTATGAAAATAGTTGAAGTTTTATATCAACTTTCAAACTGTGTTCTGTGATTAAAAGTCAAAGTTTGTAATTTCTTACTCAATTAAGCTCAAAATGTGTAAACACGCAGTGTAAATTTTGACATTCACCGTAATTAAACTTAAAAAATTTAATCAATCAACTAAAGATAATTAAATTTTTTTTCTATAAATCACAAAATAAAAAAAAAATTGCAATCAACCATTAAATATTTTTTTAAATTTATAATTTCTTTTCTTTTTTTAATTAATTTAAAAAATATTCCTCTCAACAAGTAATAATCTGGGACCAGGATAGCTTCACCTTAACAATTTAAAAGATCAACCCTTTCACCCGTTAAAATTTTTTAACACTTGGCGAAATTGTCTAAATTATTTAATTTAGACTTAATTTAATTAAACTCGTATTGTTTAATAAAATAACAAATATGTATTTAAATAAAAAAAAAAAAATTTTAACAAAAAAAAAAATTGATAGAAAATCAGTCAACTCTCACCGTTGGCCAACGAATCTCGTTGATAGCAGATATGTAGAGAAATAGACTTATCAGATAATTTCGTTTTAGTCCCATGTCCCCTTTCGCGGATAAACAACGAATCTTCGGACACGGCTTTCCAAATGTGAATAAAGTCACGGGGCGCGAAACCGTCCTTTTATAGAAGATATCACACCCCCGCGCAGGCGTTCCACCCCATCTATTATATGAACACGTAAATATACTCCGAAATTCATAATACGTTCAATTGAGAAAAATCCGATTTAGAAATGTGAAAAATTATTAAATTCCAATTAAAGTTTAAAAAAATAGAATAAAAACTTTAAATTAAAATTTTTGAAAAATTAAAAAAAAAAAAATATTTTAATAGAGTCATTGAAAAGCAATTTAAAAGCATAATTAATATTCCCTTTTTTTATATATAGAGGATATATTTCATATTAACTTATAATACCACATAAGTGAAGAAAGTAATAATCACATGAAAAAGTATTTCAAGATTCAATGTAAAATTATTTTCATTCAATCATTTCTTATTCCCCTCACACACTATTTATCCAAAATGCTTTCCACCCTACGATTTTTTCCCCTGTTTTTTTTTTCTTGCAAATTCAAAGGATCATTTTTTTCAGTCTTTTCTAGCTTTTATCATTAATCTTTATTATCGCTCTCGAAATGTTAAGTGTTTTCGAAAAAGCAACCTTATAGTTTTTTTTTTTTTATTTTTATCGTTGAAGAAACGAAAAACAAAATTGGAAATCTAAATTTTTCAAAATACATAATTCAAAAATGTTAAATAGGAAAAAAAGTGAAATTTTTTCTCAATAAAAAATGTCTTCAAAAAATAAAAGATAAACTGAAAGATTATCAAAAGAAAATATTTACAAAAAAAAAACGATGATTTATCTAATCAATTAAAAATTTAGAAAATGGAATCGATCTTGAAAATTCTCATATTGTCACCTGTAATTAAACTATTTCGACAAATCGAAAAAGAAACGGATAAAAAATTCTTCCCTATTCATCACTATGGTTTTTTTTTAATTTAGTAGATGAAATACTGCAGATAAAAATAGAACCGAAACAATTACTTCTAAATGGAAATCTCGAAATGAACCAGAAATATTGCATGTAAACCTTCTATTTTTAGACCAGACTGCGTAATATTACGAACCCTTGAACTCTAGAGAATTTCTATTTTTTACCTTGCTGTTTGTTCCGAATTTTTTACACAGATAAAAAAAAATTAATTAAATTCAAGAGTAATTGTTCCAAAAAAAAATTATTTTTATAAATTCTGCAAATCATATTTCAAAAATAAAAAATAACGTAAAAAAATTGTTAATTCAAATTTGGTTATCAATTTTTTATAATTAAAAAATATTAAAATGATTGATTTTACTATTTTTCCAGGCAATGAAAAGTAATTTTTTTTTAATTTGTCCAAACAGTGCCTCGTGTTTAACATTTATACAAGATGCTTGTACTTTTATATGAAACATGTTTTTTGTAACCTCTCGGTGAATTTTTCAACTTTTTAAATCACAACTGCCCCTTCATAAAATATTTCAGTTGATATATGCATTTTGTTTCATAAATTAAATTTCAGTTTTTGATTAAAATAAAAAAAATTATAATTTTTCAAATCTTATTAAATGTATATGTGTGTAATTTCAATATTTTTTAACTTACACGAAAAAAATGTCTTTTATTTTTTATAAAAATGAAAAACGAATTATTTTCACTGACGTCATATCTACATTAATAGTTTCAGAATAATTTGTCATAAGGAAACGTGTTCCGAGGGTAAAAAAAAAATACTAGTTCTTGGAAAGAGAAAATGTATCAATAGGTATAGTCAAAAAAAAAAAGATTATGGGAGTAAGGTCATTCTGTGCACATCCCACGCTCATTTTCCACAAAATCTGGCTTAAAGGTCGTGGTCATCACAAAATTTCATAAAGGAATTACATTCAAAAAGCAATGACTATATATTCAATATTGCTCGAGAAAATTCAAAAATTTTCAACTTCATTGAAAAATTAATAAACCAGAAAAGGTACAAAAATACAAAATATAAAATAGAATATTATTTCTCTCAGAAACTTATCGAAGAATAAACCACCCGACTTGCACACAAGTAATGTCCTTACGTCAGTGTATAATTGGTTGCCTATATTCGTGTCCCTTTTCATATTATAAACCAAAAAAATTTGATGAAATAAAAATGTTATTTGAAATAATAAGTTAAACTTTTTACTTAATATTCAATTAATGTAAATGAAGAAATTTATCTTTTTGATAAGTGGATAAAATTTTCCAATATAAAAAAAAAGGAGCAATTTTTAATTAAAACAGTTAAATTTTGAAATCGTTTAGAAATAGCAAACAAAAATACTGGAAAGAAGTGAAAAAAATAACACAATTCTCATCCATCATTTTTCCGAGCCAAGGAACTTGCAATTTACAGAACATATCGCATGTATCATGACGTCGAACGATCGGTTTCGCATTTCGATATCATGTCTTTCGGGACTACGAAACGTCAGATATAATTGAACGTATATTTGCCATTTTGAGACTGTAAAAAGATATATACTAGGAGAAAAAAAAAATTTGACGCACAGGAATAGATTTAAAAATAACATCAAGGATCAAATTTTTCGTTGCGAAGATATTATTTTTAGAAAGTTAAGAATTTGTGACGCAACTCCTCTCAAATAACCGATTGATTTTCCTTCCTATCAAAGAAAAAGGGACCTGCTGTCGATATTCGTCACCCTTCAACTTGATAAAGTGTCAAGAGTGAATGCAAAACCTCCATATATATATACACATTTTGAAAAGAGATGATAAAAATTTACAAAATTGAAAAAAAAATTTAATCATACGTCTTTTCGACGATATGGAATTCTTTTTTTTATCAATATTTTATTATATTGATAAATCATGAATAATCAAATGAATAAGTATATTATTTTATAAGGGCAAAAATTCTTGCCAATAAAAATTTAAATTGAAAATTTATCTTGAATTTGAAAGTGAAATTTTTTCAGATAAGTTTTTTTCAATCAAACATTTAATTGTAAATTTCACTTAAAGATGCAAAAATTCAAATTTAAAATTTGAATTACATTTAAATTTAATATTATTCATAACCGGAAAGAAAAGATCATTTTTTTTTAAATTCAAATATTTTTAAATGAACTGTACTAATTATCAAAAATGGAAGATAATTAATTCAACTCATAAACCATGCAAAAGAAAATAATAAAAAACAACATAGTGACGTGTAAAATTTGTAAAAAAAGCATGCAAAAATATATGAAAAATATAATTTATGTAGTTACCAGTAAACGTTGATTTTTATTCGTTTTTGTCAGAACGCAACAACAAAATTACTAATTCCCTGCCTAATAAGAATATATTAAAAAAGATAGCCTAAATCTCAAAAATTCTAAATTCCCTACCTAACAAAACATTTACTATATATTCAACACAGAAGATCTGAAAGAAACTAAAACAATTTAGTAAATAATTTTTTTTAAAGTGATATTAATTATGAAATTAAACTTAATTCAAGTACAAATGGTAATTTAATATTTAACAAAAAAGAAATGTTAGCAAAAGTGAAAGAAAATAAAAATATTTAAATTTCTTTTTCAATTATAATAAAAAGAATTCAAATAAAAGGAAAAATTAATTTTAAAATGTGAAAAATAGACATTTAAAAATATAAAAAATATAAAACATTGTAATAAGATAAATTTTGAAATTTAATTAACACTGGTATAATTACTAATTTCAAAAATAATAAATGTAAAAATCAAAATATTAATTAACAATCTTGTTCTTTCTCATAAATTTTAATTATTTTATTTAATATTGATATTAAATAATTAATTTTCTAAATTACAATTTAACATGAATGATAATTTAGTATTTTATACCAGTGATGTCACTATGTTGTCAAAAAATAAAATGCACTCACCGATCGTGGAGTCAAACGTTGATGGGACAGCAGTGCAGCATTTTCCTGGGACAAACTTCAAGGAGCGTAAGATTCTGCATCTTTGATGATGACGATCCTTTACTTTTGACAAAGAAGAGGGCCATCACGATGATTCCCTTTTGCTATCTTGTTATCCGCTTTTTGTAATTTCGATGTTTGAAAATGTACCTAAAAAAAATAAATTCTTAACAAAAAAGTACTAAAAAAAATTGTACAGAAAGAACATTAAATATTTTGTACATTATTAAATATATCTTGTGATTTCTTCATTTGTAAAGTGAAATGTTTTTAATGTTAAATTAAATATTAAATTTCGTTTTTTAATTTGAAGTTGAAAATGTTAATTAATTGTTAAAAATCTAAATTAAAATAAAATTATATTTATAACTGAATTTTTCTGCATGAAAAAAAATTTCATTGCAAATATAAAATTCTATGAGCTTCTAGTAGCACTTATTTATTTAAGTCCTAAAAATACAAAATTATTAATATTTTGCAATGTAAATGTTAAATATTTCGACAATTGTTATTCAGATTATTAGATTATAATATAACATAACCTAATATTATTATTTTTCAACCATTTGTTGAATAAATTGTCAGAAATTATTCGACCAAAGAATAAATGAAAAAAATTTTAATTAAACAATGAATATTTTTCAATTATAACCTAACCTAAATTTTTTCATAATTTTAAATTTAGGAATGAATTATTCCAAGTTATTTAACAAAATAAAGAAATCAAGATTTTTATAAAATAATAAAAATATTACCTTTTTTTAAAACTAATATTCATGAATTCGGTGGCCACACCACTGCGAATTTTTTTTTTTTTTACGATTTGTCTTTTTCCTCTTTACACAATTCAACACAATTGAATTGTTTTTTTGAAACATAAGCTGAAAATTATATTCATATTATGTAACAATAAATGACAATTTCGATAAATATAAATAAATAATAATAAACAATTTTGAAAATATTTCGTAAAAAAGACAAAAGTGGAATAAAGAGATTTGATTGGCTGATTCTAATGGCGTAAAAAAAATTTCGTAAATTTATTAAAAATTAACAAAAAAAAAAAAAGAAATATTAGAATAAAGCTTATAATTCTTTCCTATATTTCGAGGGAAATATAATTTGTACATGTATAATTATAATATATAAAAAAAAACTCTCGTCCACCCTAACCTAACTTTTCACAAAAATTTTCAGTGTTCAATTTTAGCTTTTATTGTATCTCATTTATCAAAATTTTATTACACACACAAATTTTGTGAATAGAATTTACTAAAAAATCATGATTTGATATAAAAACTGATAAAAATATTACCTTTTTCGATGAAAATTCAGGACGCCCTGTGCGGAGCTGCAACGGCTGCAAGTGTGGGTGATGCCAATATGGCGGACAAAAATGACGTCACTTTTCTTCTCAAGCACAGCATGTTACTTCATTGGCTATTTAAGAGAATATGTAAGAATATTCTTTTAAAAAAACACAAGAAATATTAAAAAACAAAGCTTTATTATATATAAAAGAGAAATTTAAAAAAGATAAAAAGATATATATGTAAAAGAAACCTCAAACCTAACTTTTTCACAAAAATTTTTCAACGCTTAATTTTAGCTTTTATTGTATCTTATTTATCAAAATTTTATATAATACACAAATTTTATCAACGGAATTTACTAAAAAATTATGATTTGATATAAAAACTAATAGATTTATTACCTTTTTCGATAAAAATTCAGGAAGCCAAATTGAAGTTGAACGACATGGCTGGGGCGACGCCATTATGCTGCTTTCCCGGTAAAAAAAAGCTCTCGTTTCCGCTTATTTCCCGCGTTTCTTGATAGTTGATTTCCGGTTTAGGGGAGGGAATCCACCTAGTGGAATAATGCAATCTGATTGGCTGTTTAAAAAAGTGGTAAATTCAAAATGTTATTATTAATTAATTGTTATTTTATATAATCTGAAATAATTTATTAACAAAATTACTTAAGATATTTTTTAAGAAAAACCTCCGATTAATTAATTTCTTTTTATTCTTTTTAACTTTTTATTTGTATTAGACAAATGTATCCCTTTTTTAGTTGTCATGACAACAATGGAAGATTTTTGAATCAGTTTTCTGCATTTTGTATCAACGGTTGCGTGCTCGTACATAAGAAACAATTTTTGTAAAATCTACTACATTAAAGCAAAAAAGTATGGAAAAGTATTAATTAAATGTGATCTGATAATTATGGGTAAGTAGAAAAATAATACCTTTTTCAAATTCACTTTTAAATAACAATTTTTCTTCACGAAATGTAAATGGACACACATAACCTAAAAAAAAATAAATAAGCACAACTTTGTTTTTCTTTTGTTTTCATTATTGCAGCTATTATTATAACTTATTTTATATATTAACGATTGTTTATTTTTTTTAACAATAATATAAGCTTCCATAAATGGTTTATAAAATGAATTTTTCTATGAAAAGTCAAAAATCACTTTTGTGTTATTTATAAACACAATTTCGAATTATACATTTTTTATTTTAGAATCATTACTTAATTAAAAATTAATAATTTTACGTGCATATTTTAATTTTCATATATTGTTTTAAATATTATTGAAATATATTTAAATAGTATCGATTAAAAAAAAATAAATTTAATTAATATTTTTTTTAATTACAATTGAAATATTCATTAAGAATTCAATTTTTTAATTATATTTTTTTCAATTTTTTAGACAAAGAATTTAGCCCCTGCGTAATATCATTTCTTGCTACATTACTGTATAGTTCAGCTGTGAATAGGGAAGAATGAGTGCTCAATAAAATAGAGAACACCAGTTGCCGGTTTGCCTGCTAGCAAAACTGTTCGATATTCGTTGTAAAGAAATAGTTGAAAATATCTTTGAAACATATACAACAATTATGGACAATCAGGATTGCTATTTAATATTGGAGAATGGCAAATCTTTACCTGGAAAATGTTTTGGAGCAAAAGAATGTGTCGACGGAGAAATTGGTATGAATTGAATTCTGTTATTATTTTATTTGATGCTTGAGGGTAACACGTGGTCGGACTCCATTTTCCTAGCCGGCTACTACGTCAATTTATGACGATTAATATTTTCGGAGCGAAAGAATATTTAATTAAAGCACACGTGCGGAAAAATTACTAGAGATTAAACAATAATCTGTGATCATTTTCAAATAAAATTTAAAGGAAAACTTTTATTCTATAGCAGTTTTTAGAAAAACATTATTTTCTATTATGATTCTTTGTTTTAAATATTATTTTTTTTAAATTTTGCCTTTATTTCGGGTTCAATGAACCATTAATTTAATTTTTTTGTTGAATTAATATTTAATTTATTTATAATTGAAATTACTCTATTTTTTTATTAAATTATGATATTAAATATTTTTTTAAACTTTTATATAAAACATTTTCTAATTTTAAATAAACATTTAATTAATAATATAAAATGACTTAAGATAATATTTAATTAATTAAACTAATGTATAAATATTTCAAATTAAAATAATGAATCTTTTTTAAAAATAAAATCTTTTGTTTTAGTTTTTCAGACTGGAATGGTGGGTTATCCTGAATCGTTAACAGATCCATCTTATCATGCTCAAATTTTAGTACTGACATATCCATTAATTGGAAATTATGGCATACCAGGAAATGAAAAAGATGAACACGGTTTACCGCTGTAAGTTGATAATAATTTCTTATTATTTCGATTGAGTTATTTTTCATATTACTTTATTTCAAATCAATTTAAAATTATCTAATGGAATCAGTTGGAAAATTTTTAAATTACAGAATAGTAGAATTAATTTTAAAGTATTATTTTGTTGTATGTACATATTTAGTACACGTTTTTTTCTAATATTTCGTAATATGTGTGAAACAAATTATAATCTACTCGCGTATAAAGAATTATATTCTTTTGATATCTAATCTTTCTCATTTAAGTATTTTCGCATACTAGGATATTAAATTTCACTTAAATATTATGAAAAAGCAACTTTAGCAGCAAAATACAAGACGAGAAAATAGTCATCGCAATTAATACAAAATGTATATTATGAAAGCAAGAATATTTTATTTATTTTCATAACTTAATATGAAATACAAAACTTTCTTGCACATTATTTTGTCTTTAAGATAAAAAAAATTTTTATAAATGTATTTAAAATTATTTTGTATAAAATATAAGGATTAAAAATTTTTAATTGTTTATTACAATAGAGTAATTATTTTATAAAAAAGTATTGTAAATATTAAATGATATTTATTTACAGGTGGTTTGAATCAAATCGAATTTGGGCAGCTGCTCTGGTGGTTGACGAAATTTGTGAAACGCCAAGTCATTGGAGGCAAATTCAAACCTTATCCGAATGGATGGAGAAAGAAAAAATTCCCGGAATTTGTGGAATTGATACTCGAGCTTTGACAAAAATTATCCGAGAAAATGGAACAATTCTAGGCAGAATTGTTCGACATAAACAAAATGAATTTCCTTTATGTCCTTCTATTGTCGATCCAAATACCAGAAATTTGGTCGCTGAAGTTTCATGTGTAATTATCATATCATAATTATTATTAATTATTACGTTTAATTAATTTTAATTGCTTTAATTTTCTATAATTTTTTAGAAAGACATAAAAACGTACAATCCAAAAGGATTTCCCCGCGTATGCGTAATTGATTGTGGATTAAAATACAATCAATTGCGATGCTTTTTGAAAAGAAACGCGCGATTGGATGTTGTTCCATGGGATTATGATTTTACGAAAGCAGAATTTGATGGTCTTTTTATAAGCAATGGACCAGGAAATCCCGCAATGTGTGAAATTACCATTAAAAATATCAAAAAATACTTGTCATCATCAAATCCAAAACCAATATTTGGAATTTGCCTTGGTCATCAACTTCTTTCCTTAGCTGCCGGTGCAACTTCCTATAAAATGGAGTAAGTTATTTTAATTTATTGACTTTGAATCATGAAAATATTACTTTTATTTTGTGTTTTGTTAGTTACGGTAATCGTGGTCACAATCAACCAGTCACTCATCATGGAACGGATAGATGTTTTATGACTTCGCAAAATCATGGATTTGCAATAGACGCGGAACAATTGCCAAAAGATTGGGAGCCACTGTTTACAAATACAAATGACAAAAGTAACGAAGGTATTATTCATTCGAAATTACCGTATTTTTCTGTTCAATTTCATCCAGAACACACGGCCGGTCCTCGAGATCTTGAATGTTTATTTGACGTATTTCTCGAAACAATCAACAATAGAGAAATAATGACGATCAAAGAACGATTGCATAAGAAATTAATTTACAATCCCGAAATTCCTTATGGTCGTTTTCGACCAAAGAAAGTTTTGATTCTTGGAAGCGGTGGTCTTAGTATCGGTCAAGCTGGCGAATTTGATTACTCGGGTTCGCAAGCAATTAAAGCTCTTCGCGAGGAGAAAATTCAAACACTTCTCATCAATCCCAATATTGCCACTGTACAAACCTCAAAAGGAATGGCTGACAAAGTCTATTTTCTTCCCATTACCCCAGAATACGTGGGACAAGTAAGTGAATAAAAAATATAATTCATAAAATTAATTATTATTGTAATAAAAAAAAAAATTGATTTCAGGTGATAAAATCAGAGCGACCGGATGGAGTTCTTTTAACTTTCGGTGGACAGACAGCACTCAATTGTGGTGTAGAGCTCGAGAAGAACGGTATATTTAAGAAATATAATGTGAAAATTCTTGGAACTCCAATTGAATCTATCATTGAAACAGAGGACAGAAAAATTTTTGCTGATCGAATTTGTGAAATCAATGAAAAAGTTGCGCCAAGTGCGGCAGTTTATACAATTAATGAAGCACTTCAGGCAGCTGAAAAATTGGGTTATCCAGTTATGGCACGAGCTGCATTCTCGCTAGGTGGTTTGGGATCAGGATTCGCAAATAATGAAGAAGAATTGAAAACACTCGCTCAACAAGCTCTCGCACACTCGAATCAATTGATCATTGATAAATCGTTGAAAGGATGGAAGGAAGTTGAATATGAAGTAGTTCGCGATGCCTACGATAATTGCATTACAGTTTGTAATATGGAGAATGTTGATCCTCTGGGTATTCACACTGGTGAATCAATTGTCGTTGCACCAAGTCAAACTCTCTCGAATCGCGAGTACAATATGTTGAGAACGACTGCTCTTAATGTTATACGGCATTTTGGTATTGTTGGCGAATGTAATATTCAATATGCGCTGAATCCAATTTCAGAAGAATTCTATATTATTGAAGTTAACGCGCGACTTTCAAGAAGTTCAGCTTTAGCTAGTAAAGCCACTGGTTATCCATTGGCTTACGTTGCTGCTAAATTGGCTCTAGGAATTTCGCTACCGGAAATTCAAAATTCAGTAACGGGAAAAACTACCGCTTGCTTTGAGCCCAGTTTAGATTATTGTGTCGTTAAAATTCCACGATGGGATTTTAGTAAATTCCAAAGGGTCAGCACCAAGGTGAGCAAATTTTTTTTTTTATTTATAAAAGTAATACAATGTTTTAATTTTTTTTAAAAATATTTTAAGATCGGAAGCAGCATGAAGAGTGTGGGCGAAGTGATGGCAGTAGGACGAAAATTTGAGGAAGCATTTCAGAAAGCATTGCGAATGGTCGACGAGAATGTGACTGGTTTCGATCCCTATGTAAATTCCGTGAACGATGACGACCTGGAGAAACCAACGGACAAACGAATGTATGTTTTGGCTGCTGCAATAAAAGCCGGCTATTCAATCGATCGTTTATATGAATTAACAAAAATTGATCGTTGGTTCCTGTCAAAATTGAAGAACATCATTATATATTATAATCTTTTGGAAAGTTTAGATCAGAGAAAACTTTCCAGAAATGTATTACTTGGAGCAAAGAAAATTGGATTCTCCGACCGACAAATTGCTGAAGCTGCAAAAATTTCTGATCGTTTGGTGCGAATGCAACGAAATGAATTTGGCATCTCACCATTTGTTAAACAAATTGACACTGTTGCTGCCGAATGGCCTGCGAGTACAAATTACCTTTACCTAACTTACAATGCTGAAGATCATGATATTGAATTCCCGGGAAATTATACAATGGTCATTGGTGAGTGTTTTTCCATAAATTTGTATATTTACATTAAAAAAAATTTTTTTATTTAAAATTAAAAATGGCAATTCTAGGATCGGGAGTTTATCGAATTGGAAGTTCTGTTGAATTCGATTGGTGTGCAGTGAGTTGTCTTCGAGAATTGAGAAATCTAGGACGGAAAACAATTATGGTGAACTATAATCCAGAAACAGTCAGTACTGATTTCGATATGAGCGACCGACTCTACTTTGAAGAAATTTCATTTGAAACAGTTATGGATATTTATGAGCACGAAAATCCAGAAGGTATCATCTTATCAATGGGTGGACAACTTCCAAACAATATTGCTATGGATCTGCACAGACAACAGGCCCGAATTCTAGGAACTGCTCCCGAATCGATTGATGACGCTGAAAATAGATTCAAATTTTCTCGAAAACTTGATTCGATCGGAATTTCTCAACCTAGGTATACTTTGAAATCAAATTTAATTTTCCTTTCAATTTATTATTAGTTTAAATAAGTCTAATTTAATTTAATTTACCAGGTGGAAAGAATTGACAAATCTCGAATCGGCTGTTGAATTTTGTGAAGAAGTTGGTTATCCGTGTTTAGTACGACCATCGTATGTTTTAAGTGGCGCAGCAATGAATGTTGTGCATTCAAATCATGATTTGGAGTCGTATTTAAAAATTGCCAGCAATGTGAGCAAGGAGCATCCTGTTGTTATATCGAAATTTATTCTCGAAGCGAAGGAAATTGATGTCGATGCTGTTGCCTATGATGGTACAATTTTCTGTATGGCTGTTTCGGAGCATGTGGAAAATGCCGGAGTTCATTCTGGAGATGCGACTTTGGTAACACCGCCCCAGGATATTAATCAGGAAACTCTTGCGAAAATCTGCACTATAGCAAAAGACGTTGCAGCTTCATTGTCTGTCACTGGACCATTCAATATGCAGCTGATAGCTAAGGCAAACTGAAATCACATTCTCTATTTGATAATATTTTTATTATATAATTTCATAAAAACCTTTATTTATAATTCTATCTTTTTTTTTTACAGGATAACGAACTGAAAGTAATCGAATGCAATGTTCGTGTTTCAAGATCATTTCCATTTGTTTCAAAGACTCTGGATCACGATTTTGTTGCTACAGCGACTCGTTTAATTGTTGGAGAAACTGTAAAACCTGTCGGTCTTTTAACTGGATCTGGAAAAGTTGGAGTAAAAGTGCCTCAATTCTCATTTTCCCGTTTGACTGGTAAATTAATCAATAAAAATTATTTTAACGTTGTAATTTTATCAAAAATTTCACAATTTTTATTAAAGGTGCCGACGTTATGTTGGGCGTCGAGATGGCATCAACCGGAGAGGTAGCTTGTTTTGGTGATAATCGATATGAAGCTTATCTAAAAGGAATGTTGAGTACTGGTTTTCGTATTCCGCAAAGGGGCATTTTACTATCAATCGGAGCATTTAAGGTATCTAATTATATATATATAATTTTTAATCTATTTCAGAACAAAAAAATTAACACGTATGATTTTTTCGATTATCGATTGATAATCAAATCTTTTATACTATGTTGATAATTACTTTTTAACTGCTTTTAAGTTTCCGTATTGAAAAAAAATTTCTATATTTTTTAATAGCACAAAATGGAATTATTGCCCAACATTAGAAGTCTTGATAAAATGGGATACAAATTATATGCCAGCATGGGAACTGCAGATTTTTATTCAGAACATGGTGTTACTGTAAGTAGCAAAAATTTATTTATTTTCAACTCAATCTGAAAAAAAACCAATTTTCAAAAAAATGAAATAAACAGAAAAAGCATAAAAATTTATAAATTAATTGAAACTTAAAAATAAGAAAAAATAACTAAATATTTCGAGATTTTTTTAAATTAAAGGAGTAAATAAGTTTTAAAACAAAATTGGTTTTGTTAGCAGTTAATTTATAAATTAAATCATTCGTCTTGTTTTAAAACTCTTACACACAAAAACTTGTCACACATTCGTTATTTGGCTTTTAATTTGCCTTATCACAAGAACACTGAAAGATTATGAAAGTTCAAAATCAATTCAAATTTACAAAAAAGTTATATTTAAAAAAAAAAAATTAACTAAATGTACGTATCGTCAGAAGAGTCATTATTTTCATCTGTTAGTGAAATGACTCTAGACTCTTGTGAAACTTTCTTTTCTGCTTCGGAAAATTCTTCTTTTGGGTCTGAATAAATTTTAATTCTATCTTTTACACTCAATCTTTTCGAATTGATGGAACTACTATCTTGACTGATAGTTTCATTCTCCTTTTTATTTATTTCTTCCGAAACTGGATCAGAAACTCTCTTTTTTGCTTCTGAAATAACTTCTTCTAGGTTTGAATAAATTTTAATTTTATCTTTTACACTCAATTTTTTTGAATTTTTAGAACTACTAACTAGACTGACAGTTTCATTCTCCTTTTTTTCTTCGGAGATTTGAAGATGAACACTAGTTTTCTTTTTTTCTGATAAATGAACTTGATCAGGAATATTACTTTGGCTAGGATCATCACTTTTATTCTTTTCTTTCGAGACTGGAATACTGCTTTGACTGAGAACATTAATTTTCTTCTCTTCTTCCAAAACTAGATCAGGAATACTACTTTGATCAAGAACATCGTCTTTTGTCGATGTATTATTATCAAAGGAAGTGTTTGAAGAACAATCTTGTAATGGTCGTAGATAAGCTGGGGGATCGGACTTTTTCTTCATCGGTGGTGAACTGCTTTGAGAACTACTCGCGTCTGTTGAAGTTTGATTTGAAAATGAGGAGAATCGAGCATTCAATGATTGTGAGAATAGTGAGGAATCGGACTTTTTTTTACTTGACTCAAATGATTCTTGAGAATGTGAATTTGCTTTCGCAATTGGAGACGAAATTGATGAGCTAGTTGAAGGATTATTATTATTACTCCTCAAAGAGGACGTGAAACTTGGTGACTCTTCATTTCTTTTGGGTGTTTCCGGTGGCACGTCCCGTGAATGAGATCGAGTGATTAGTTTCTGTAGAGAAACAATTTCACGAATTTGCGAACGAGCATCTTCCTGGAACATTTCATCTTCGGCGAGTAATATACACAAACTCATTGCGTGTTGAAGGTAAATAGTTTTTTGTTGAACAGCTCCGCGCTCATGATATTTTTCACTCATTTTAATGAGATGTTCAATAAAGAAATTCAATAGTTTACTCAATCGGATGCCTTTCAATTCTCCGCAGCGTATCTATAAATAAACAGATATTTTTCAGTTATTGATAAGTTTAAAAAAAAAAAACGAAAATTTTTCCAAATAAATCTGATTTTATTCTTACCGCGATATCAACAACTGCGTCATGAGCTCTGCTCGGATTAATTAACGTTTTATTGGTCACAGGTTGTCGATGAAAATTTGTAAAGTGATCCTTATTTTTCTTCGCATCATCCCAAAATCCTCGTCGAACACTGTATTCGTCTTCCATAAAATTTTGTTGCACTACATGCTTGGCACTATCCCTCTGTAGATTTGGATTTATCAGCAATAATTCTTCCGTTGTTAATATTCTCAAGAGTTCTTCATAATTTAATTTTGGAAAAAAATCAGATTCATAACGAATATTTTCCAACGCGTGTAATACGTACATCACGGGATTTTCCAAAATTCTTTTCAATTGTTTAAGCGAAAAAAATAATGATCCTTTTTCCGAATTTTTAAAAAGATTTTTCTCTTCTAAAAAATAATCCTTGAGAAATGCCTCGTCTTGATTGATACATTTACACAAACACTGAAGAAGCTTCAACAAATAATCGCCTGTGGAAAATTCAGATTATTTTTAAAAAAGAAATTTATAATATTTTTTTAACAGAAATAGTCACCTGTCTTGTTCTCCGACCACTCTTGCAACGAATGTTCAATCAGCCAAAAAAGTTGATTTCGAATTTGATGAGCATTGAGACGATCAGGCGCAGATTCAACGGCTCTAATGAATGTCTTGTGCAACATTAGAGCAATAATGTAAACTCTCATCTGTGCATGACTCATGCAAGTCTCCAAATATCTCTCGGCAGCCGGGAATGCAAGTTGCCATTCAGTCTTTGAACTTAACTGATCGTCCTTGCTGCGAAACTCCTGGGGAATAATGTAACAACCAAATTTTCTAATATGGTGAATCATTTCATAATTTGGCCATGAATGTCTTGCTCGTTCTAACCAATCGTTAGCGCACTCTGGCCATTGAGTCCAAATACAGGGAATAATTTCATATGATTCACTAATATTACACTTGATTGCTGGACTGATTTCAACTTTATCACAATAGACAATTGATCCAAAAAAAAGTGGCCGACGAAATCTAATTACTTCTTCTAAGCCAAGTAAAGGAGCAAGACTCTCAATGAAGACATTATAAAAACGTTTACGAAATTTTGTACTATTTAAATACCATACATCGTAATTCTGTCGATTTCGTTCGACTTGCACTTGACGTTCTTTGCTACTTATTGTACGCTTCATTTTATTCTCCAATGGATCATAAATTCTTCCTTCCACTGTTTTTGTCACTGGGGAAAAACACGAATCCGGTATTTCAGCAGCATCCAATGGAAGTTTTGATTTATTAAAACCACTGCAATAATATTCACTATCGGTATCGTAATTACCAGATTTATAACCAGAACTTGTACTACTTGCTGGACTCGCGCTAACTGATCGTGTTTTAATTGGTGGATATTGTGAATTTCTATTAAAACCACGTCTTTGTCTTCTTGGTTCTCTATTGATTCTTCTTTGATCCTGAGATGATCCAGAATCATCTACAAAACCATAATCGGTATCTTCTTCATTGTCATGAAATTTTTCAAGTTCAGTTTTATTTGGAACCCTCTCAAAAACTTCATCTGACTCATCAATTAAATTTGGCGTGGATTTTGTTGTTTTCAATTGAATTTGTTGATAGAAATTTTTTGACAAATTTCTACTCATATGGGAATTTAAATTTTTTGACGTTGAATAAAATGTTTCACTGTCACTGTAACATTCATCTCCATTTTCTGCTATTGAAGATAAATCTACTTCTTCCACGGTTGATTTTCTTTTTGATGGAGTAACTCCTATTCGTTCAAGGTGCACGTAACCTAAATTGATAAATTAATTATTAATAATTTCAAATATTTATTTATTTATTTTTTAAATATTATAAAATTGTTTACCTTTGTGTTTGCTAGGTTTTAGACGCATATTATAGGTAATTATATCGTTCATTGGACTGTAATGAGATGAGTCATGTTGATCAGAGACTTCAATATTCTCATAAACAACAAACATACGAACGGGTTGAAGAGGTTCTATTGTTGGATCGACAGTTTCTCGTCTAGATATAAATGTGACATTTTTAACGATTTTCTCTTGCAGAATGTCAGGTAGTAAAACTCGTTTTTGCGGCAGTATTCGTTTATTTAAAGCTGTTTCATTTGGCGATACTAGAGTTTTTCTCATTTCCAAAATTTCTCTGTAATTGTAATTAGAATCTATTTTTAGAGGTAAAAAAACTAATTTTTTAAAATTACTTACAATTTGACTGTTTAAAATTTTTTTAGTTTTAATCACATAAAAATTGTAATTTATTACATTCAAATCAAAATTTTTGCCATTAATTTAGAGAATCATAAAAATTGAATTCACATTGCTAACAAACGTTTATCAGTAATTGATTAATCACGGTTTATCTTTTTACGGGGGGACTTTAAAAGGTTTTTCAGCAAAATGTGTTCCACAGAAAAGCTGATATCAATCAAGATTTAAAAATATTCTCTGTCACAAATAGATTTAACGCAGGATCAAATATGTTTTTTTTCTTTTTTTTTTGTTTTGTTTTAAGGCTTCCCGCACAGAAATAATTTATTCCTTTAATTAAAAAATTATGGTTTTAGTCCCAAGAAATGTTACATTATTATTATGAAACATTATAATAATAATCAGAAAAAAATACATTTTCATTAAGAATTAATTGAATTTTTGAAAAAAGGAAATATGAGAAAAAAATTATTTTGATAATTAATTTTGAAAAAATAATTTAATTCTTCATTTCATAAATAGAAATTAATTTATTTCGAATTAATAAAAAAAAATCCATCATTTTATCCAAATTAAATTTTATTAAAATTAATTATTCCTATATATATTTATTTATTTGTTTATTTATTTATTGATATCAGTAAAATTTACTTCTAGCTTACTCAACCAAAATCCACTAAAAATAATCCAATATCAATTCGGTCGTAAAACTGTCGCAAAAAAGATATCATTTAATCCAAAAATGAAGCTCTCAAATGTGAAGTTGATTGGATAAGATATAAATTTAAAAAAAAAAACTTTAACATCAATAATAATTGAAAATTAACAATTAGAATTTATAAAATTAAGGAAAATTAAAATATCATTTTTTACAAATTTTTCTCAGTTTAGATTTTTCTATTCAGATTTGAATTTGAATTAATTAAATTAAATCTAATCATATTAATTTAATTCTAATCGGTGTGAAACGCCGATGACGATATGTTTGAGGAATTCTAAAGATAGCTACTATTATTAATTCAACATTGTCTATTTTATGTAATATCCGATCTTTTTTTTTTCTTGACAATTTTCGGTAATTCACTCTTTATTGATTAAATTGAAGTTAAATATTTACATTCTATATTTATTTTTTAGAACTTACTCTTCATAGTTCTGAAAAAAATCGACGCACATCATCAGATTATTGAGAATAAAGACTTCTGGATTATTTTTAATATTTTTCTTCAGTTTGCTGATTTCGGGATCTTCAATTGGAAGATCCCTATTATCAGAGCCGTTATTTGTTCGTATATCCGATTTTGAACTTTTTTTTGGCATTTGATTGGTTGCCGAATTTTTTTTCGTGGACTTCATATTACCCATCGTGGTGTTAAAAAGTTTATTAAGATGCCCAGGCATCACCTTTAAAACACTTGTGCTCCTTGAGGAGCTTTCATTCGAAAATTTTCAAAATCAAAATTTTAACACACGATCCACACTAAAGACGACGCTTAATATTATAATCCTCAACTCACACATATTGAATCAACGATCATCACTCGACTGTTAGAGAATTTAATATAATTTCTTAAACGTTTGTCACGATAAATATCCTATCTCTTTATCAGGTAGAAAAGGATGATTTTAATTGGCTACTCATATCGGTTGCCGATAATATATGATGACGAATAAGTAATTTATATATATTTTTATGATAATAGACTCATGATTTCAAGAGGCAGTGAAAATAATAGTAAATTAAAATAGATCTCTTATTATTAATATTATTATATCTTATATTTTATTATTAATTTTATAACAAAAAAAAAATTCAACATTTTTCATTTGTTTTTAAAAAGATTGATTTTATGATAACTGATACACAAAAATAAATTAATTCCATGAAAATTGAAGTAATTGATTAAAAATAAATAAAATTTAGTTCTTTAATTTACGTAATTTGATATTTGAATGATTGGAAATTTATGTTTTCAGGTAGAACCAGTTCAGTGGACATTCGAGAACATCACCGTGGATGAGGATTCAAGTCCTTCGGAACTTTGTCATTTAGCTGATTTTCTCGCTAAAGAATTATTCGATCTGGTAATTAATCTTCCAATGCGAAATGGAGATACAAGAAGAGTTTCTAATTTTTTAACCCATGGCTATCGAACGAGAAGATTTGCTGTTGATTATTCTGTCCCTTTGGTAACAGACGTGAAATGTGCCAAGCTTCTTGTAGAAGTAAGTTATTACACGATTTTCACGAACACTAGGAAGAGATAAGATATATCTATTACTTATTATCAATTTCATTTCGATGATATAATTCTAAAATATTTACAATTTTAAAAAATATATTTTTTCGTAATTAAAATAATTAATTTTTGATAAATGATGATTGAATTCTTTAAATTTTAATTCATTTATAATATTCTATTTTGTTTAACGATTGTGATTTATTTAGGCATTAAGAATGCTACATGGTCAGGCGCCAAAAATGAAGACACACACAGATTGCATGACATCAAGAGCAATGACGAAACTTCCTGGATTTATTGATGTGCACGTTCATGCTCGAGATCCTGGTGCAACTCATAAGGAAGATTTTGCATCATGTACCGCGGCTGCACTCGCTGGTGGAATTACTATGATATTGGCTATGCCTAATACAAATCCAGCAATTGTTGATCGACAAAGCTTCAATTTAGCTAAAGAAGTAAGATTTCACAAGTATTAATTATTAAGTTTTTCCAGAACCTTAATTTTAAATTTAATTGATCGTTTTTCTTTTAAGAGAGCAGCAGCAGGTGCAAGATGTGATTATGGTATTTTCCTTGGAGCATCATCTGAAAATTATAATATAAGTGCAGAAATAGCTCCAATGGCAGCAGCATTGAAAATGTATCTGAATGAAACGTTCACAACATTGAAATTGAGTGACCTCAGCGTCTGGATTAAGGTTTGTAAGAGAAAAATTCTTTATATCCGCAACTTTTAATCCCCTTTGAGTATTCCTCGGAAAATTCATAGTACACCAGATTTAGATAACGATAAAATCGTGTTGATTGATTATTAGAAGTAGAAAAAAATATATATATTTATATAAGACTTAAACTATTTGATTGAATCATTTGATTATTTTGGTTTTCAGCACTTTGAAAATTGGCCAAAAAAATATCCACTCTGCGTTCATGCTGAAAAACAAATTGTAGCAACAGTTGTTTTATTGTGCAGTCTCAATGGAAGACCCGTTCACATTTGTCATGTTGCTCGAAAAGAAGAAATTCAAATTATACGTGCTGCTAAGGAAAAGGTAAATTTTTCTCCCCTTTTTGAGATTTCAATAATTTACTTGAATTTAATATAAAAATTACTTGATTTTTAATAATAAAATTGTATAATTATTTCAGGGACTTCCAGTTACATGCGAGGTGTGTCCTCAACATTTATTCCTCTGTCAAGATGATTTGGATAAAATCGGTCACTTTAAAGGACGAGTTTGTCCAATGTTAGGAACGCGAGAAGATGTTCAAGCTCTTTGGGACAATATGAATTTTATCGACTGCTTTGCAACCGATCATGGTAAGAAATGATTTATAAAATATTTGCTATCTTCAAAGAAATTATTTAAGTAATTTTAAATTTGAAAATTATTAGATATTATTTTAAGAAAAAATTAAAATATTATTTTTTTAAATAGAGAAAATGATCATTTTTATTTTTTTTAAAGCGCCTCACACTGTTGAGGAAAAAACGAGTGAGAAGGCACCACCTGGATATCCAGGACTGGAAACAATTCTCCCCTTATTATTGACTGCAGTGCATGATGGAAAATTGAAAATGGAGGTAATTTTTTAATTTAATCGACTAATTAGACAATCCTTGAAATTTTTAAGGCTAATTAATTTTTTCCCCTAAACAGACAAATGTTCTCTTATCTTTATCGATAAGTAATCTTGCAACTTAAATTGATTTTCTCAATAATAACTACACTCGCGATCAAAGTGTAAAAGCCTGTACAAAATTTTTACTTTTATTTCTTAATATTTACTTTGTTATACCTCGTGATTCAAAATTCTTGTTTGGCCTTCTTAAAAATAAAAAAAAAGTATGCGTTCTTAGAATTTCCTTGTATTTACGGACAAGCAATGCAAATTGTACTATTTTTTTCAATTTTCATATTACTTTTACAATGGATCATTTAAGAGTTTATTATTAAAATATATTTTTTTTTATTAAATTTATCACTTTAATATAAAAAATATTAAAAATTAATTATCTATTTCTAAATTCGATTAATTGAAATATCTATTTTTTAAATATTTTATTTTAAAATTGAATATGTAAAAATATTATCATTCATTTTCAGGATCTTGTCGAAAAGTTTTATTTAAATCCGAAAAAAATATTCAATCTACCTGATCAACCGAACACGTACATTGAAGTGGATCTAGATGAGGAATGGATTATTCCCGAGGCGATGCCATACACCAAGTCGAAATGGACACCGTTTGCTGGAATGAAAGTTCGAGGAATGGTTCACAGGGTTGTGATTCGTGGAGAGGTGGCATATGTAGAAGGACAAGTGCTCGCAAATCCTGGTTTTGGACAAGACATCCGGGAAACTCAATTGAAATTAAAACATCAACTACTCAATTCTCAAACAAATGTTGACGTTAATTTTAGTCGTCCTAATTCTGCTCTCGATATGATTATTTCACCAAATATCGAAAAACTTGGTAAACCGATAGAATTTTCCGAAGATGAACAATCAGGTATGCATTTATTTTGAAAATTCTTTTAAACATTTTGTTGATTATTTATTGGACTTTAATGTTTTTGAAATATTTTTTTTTTTTTAAGAATCACCTCTGAATCTTTTAAAACCAATTTCCCAAAAGTCGAATGTTCACTTTATGCAAGGAGATATACGTGATCATTCAAAAAATACAGGACAACGAATCATTTCTCCAGTTCCTTTCAGTACTGGTATGAGATTCAGAACAAATAGTGGATCAAATTTTATACATCCAGTTGGATCTCATGGAAGTCATGGACTTTTTAATCATCACATTATTTCTGTCGATATGTTTCATAAACAACAATTGAGAGAAATCTTTAGTCTCGCTGATACATTTAAACAATATGTGAAAAAAGAACGACCATTGGATCATGTTATGAAGGTGAGAATAACAAATTATTAAATAAATATATGAAGAAATCAAAAAGTTATTTATTTATCTATATTTATAAATAAATTTCCTTTCTTTTCATAGGGGAAAGTAATGGCTTCAATTTTCTACGAAGTGAGTACAAGAACATCTTGCAGTTTTGCTGCTGCAATGCTTCGTCTTGGAGGAACTGTCATTAACATGGACGGATCAACATCTTCAGTTAAGAAAGGCGAAACTTTAGAAGGTAAGAATTTTAAATGATTTAAAATTCAATACATCGAGAGATATTCGCAAAGATATGAAAAAAAAAATTTTCTTTTATAGACTCTGTGGCAGTGATGGCAGGATACGCTGATATTGTTGTTCTCAGACATCCAGAACCTGGTGCAGTTTCTGTAAGTCAAATTGAGAAATCTTCCTTTATTTCGAAAATTTAAAATTGTTAACAATTTTCTTCTTTTCTTTTTAGAGAGCAACACAATCGTGCAGAAAACCTTTAATTAATGCCGGTGATGGAGTTGGAGAGCATCCAACGCAGGCACTCCTTGATATCTACACGATTCGAGAGGAAATTGGTACCGTCAATGGATTAACAATTACAATGGTTGGAGATCTTAAACACGGACGAACTGTCCATTCTCTCGCCCGGTTAGTTTTTACTTCCAACTTAAAATTTTTTTCTTATTTTTTAATAACTCATTGAATTAAAAATTTAATTTTTACTTTATAGACTTTTAACGTTGTACAATGTACAATTGAGATACGTTAGTCCGGAAAATTTGTGCATGCCGGAACACGTAATGTCTTACGTGGCTGAACGTGGTATACATCAGAAAAAAATAGACAAACTTGAAGACGCTATTGTTGACACGGATATTCTTTACATGACGCGAATACAAAAAGAACGTTTCTCTAGCGAAGAAGAGTACAATAAGGTTTTTTTTTTTAAATATTTATATTATTTACAAAAATTAATTTTTTAAAGAATGTATCATAATTCAAAATCACATTTTTAGTCGTGCGGTCAATTTGTGGTGACACCAGAGTTGATGACGCGAGCAAAGAGGAAAATGGTGGTCATGCATCCTCTTCCTCGAGTTTTTGAAATAAGTCCTGACTTCGATACGGATCCAAGAGCTGCTTATTTCCGGCAAGCTGAGTTTGGTGTCTACGTTCGCATGGCTCTCATTGCAATGGTTCTAGGTCGGTGCTACAATATCTAACATTTAAATAAGATTAACAGAAAAAAAAGATACAAGCAACTCTGATATATTATTTCGGTCAAGGTTGAATCGACCGAGTTCAAGGGAATTTCAAATTATTTTCGAAAACCGGTTCAAGTTTTATTTTTACTCTTCGTGAATAACTTGCTCTTCTTTTATTAACAAGAAGATTCATTTTTTCTTTATATTAAGAAAATTTTAATAAAAGAAAAACAAGATGAAAGTAAAAAAGAAAAGTTAATGAAAAATAAAATAACTAAAGAAAAAAGAGTAGAATTAAATAAATATTTAAAAAAAAGTATTTTTGCAAAGAGAAAAAAGGGGTTAGAATTTTTAATCGAAGTTAAAAATTTTTAATACATGTTAATTATAAAATTTTTACTTCTTTTTTTGATGAATACTATATTATTATAGAAGACACAATTTTTGAGCACAATGTATTTAAAAAAAAAATTTTAATACAATTTTATATATATATAGTTTTAGAATGAGATATACAAGTACAAATGCTCTATGTCTAAAGAAGCATAATTATTACATTTCAATTAATTTTAAATGCAATTGACTACCTCATTATTGCACAATCTGCCAGATTTTATAGTATTTTAAATATTTTAAAGTACATTACAGTATTTAAAAACAAATGACGTTTATGAATGACAAACTGTATTTTCTACGATATTTTTAATATCGACGAACAATTTATAATTGTCGCATAATTTTTTGAAAATTTAATAAGAAAAATATTTTACTAATGACAAAAAAAAAAAAATATTGTATATTTTTCCGGAGAAGATTAGATATATGTTTACTCATCGAAAATACATGATGCCATTGACAGCATCAGTAATGAAATTTATTCTCCATGTGACTCATCAATGATAATCAATGAATGAACTTGAAATTCAGAGATTAAGTTTACATTTTGATATTTTTACTATCATTATCAATTTTATAGGGCGTTGCTTGGTTTAAAAAAAAAAAACTTGATAAGAGGAATGTCCCTCGTATAATTAAAAAAATATATTTTTACGTATTTTACAACCTTTTTTTTTTTAAAAAAAAGGAATGATCGATTTTAGTACTTTTAATACTTCTACATTTTTAGAATGTGTGTTATACTGTGATTACGTTGAAAACATTTAATAAAATGTAATCAAGTTTATATAAATTGTTCTTCATTCGTTTAATATTAATCGAATGTATATTTATTTATTATTTACATTTTTTTTATACCTAGCAAAGATTTTTTATTATATCATTTTTTTACTTTTATTTTTATTTAAAAACAAACAATACTTTAAATTAAAAAATAGTTAGAAACATAATTATAAATGTTTTACTTTAATATAAAGTTTCGTTGAGCAATAATTATTTTTAATTATAATAGGTATATAATATACTTCATAAATTATTAAAAGAATATAATAATAAATTAATATTATAATTCGATTTCATTAAAGCAACACGTCATAAAATACAATAGAATAGATAATCCTGTTTATTTTATGTCACTGACGTCAGGAAAATGCTTTCCTTTTTTAAATGCATGCCATGAATTCTTAAAATGAACGTAAACAAAGATTGAATATTATTTCTAATAATCTTTGTCCTGAGTCTAATTAATAGAAAACTAATGAATAGTTTAAATTATTAATTAATAAATAATAACAATAATATAAGTAGAATAATTAATTAATATTAATTATTAATATGTTTTGCTTTGGTGCGATTTTTTAGTGTTAAATTAGTTATTGTGGATTATAAAATGTTCAGTCTGTGTTATAGAAAACTAATTGAATAAAGTTATTAAGTTTTTCAGATTTACAGTTTCTTTCCCTATTTATCGTGGAAGAAAAGAATTTTTGAGCTAATTGACGTCAACGGATGTTCGTCTTGTTAATCAACTCCAAGATCAAATGCATATTCAGTTGAAGCGGAAATGAATTTGAAGTTTTTGTTAAACTACAGCATCACTCATATTGTATCCCAATTCGGAAGTTCCTGTGGGACACATTTCATTTGCCAACGATTTGGAGTCTTCCTGTTTTTGTGGACCTCTTTTTTTCATACGATTAGGTAATTTTAATTTAAGTCTTTTTTTATTTAAAGATTCACTTTCCCTGAAAATTTATTTTTCTTTTATTATTCTTTCAATTAACAATTTTTCAAAGCATATAAAAATCATAATTGATATAAAATACCTTAAATTAAATAATAAAATAACTTACTGATGTTTGCAATCGAGGAATAGTCCTAATGAAAAAAGGAAAATTATTGCAACTATTATTGCTACAATAATAATCACTAGTGTCACTATCGCATCTTCTTCTTCTGGCGAATTTGATTCTTTTGTTGTAGTAGTCATATCTAAAAAATAATTGCATTTTAAATAATTTTTATTTATTTTCATTTATTAAACATTCAAATTTTTAATTTAATTATCAGGTTTCATAATATAATTTTAAAAAATTGTTTTTGAATATTTAAATGAATTACAGTAACTTTTTTTTATTGTTGTTTTCATGAAATTAGGAAGTTTACAGGCGATTGTTTGTTAAAGAAATTTTATGTTTATTTTTTCAGTTGAATTTTACGTGCAATCAGTTGTTTCAACAAAATTTATTAATCCAAGTTTTTTTTTTTTTTTATTCACAAACGTTTTCATACGTTTTTCATTAGTTATTTTAAATTTAATATTTTGATAAAGTTGTTTTAAACTTATTTCCATTATCATGTAATAGAGATAAAAAATAAATTTCCTTTTTAATAATTATTTATACTTTAGGTAATTAATTAAAAAAATTTATTAAATTTACTTTAATACATTAAAAATGTATAACCATTTAACAATGTTTTTTTAATTAACAAACATGACATTTGTTTATGCTTAGGGAAATTACGTTTATGCAAATGAATCAATATGATTTCTGAAAATCGAGTGATTGCAAATATTCACATTTCTGATTACATCAGCAGTTGGAGAATTTTTCTGCACGTGCCATTGTTATATAGTCATTGTAAAGAATTTATAGCGGTGTATTTGCTAATTTGACATTAGAGAAAAAAAGGAATTTTCTTTTATTCTCTTGTTCTATTGAATTTTCTAACAATTTATTTTTTTTATCAATGGTAGTTTGCATTTTTAAATAACTTAACGCATTGTATATCTTATCATACACAGCAGAGTATAATTTGGTAATTCCAGTTGCAAACTCGTAAAACATTGTCAAAGGCAAACAAAAATTTATTTTTAACTTAAATATATATATACTTCAATTATTTCATATTTAGGAATATTTTCAAACTTTACTTTAATAAACATTAATTTAATAAATTAAATCAATTTTAATATTATTTAATTTATTTATTTAGAAAAGTAAATAGATTTTATTTATCTTTGTCTTTCTTGACCCAGTTTTCATGTGATTTGATTTAAGATATAATTATGCAATTCAATAAATATTTATCTAGATCTTTGTATAATTTTTGAATCTTTAACGTCCGATTGATAATAATAATCAAAAATTCACAATGACAATTTCATACAAATCATTTATTAAAAAGAAATAAAATTATTATTTTTAATATTTTTCTTTTAATATTATACCTTGTAGCCCCTGAAAAGGAGAACTATATAAGTCTCAAAACGTTGGTCAAAATATTATTTATTTTTAATAAATGACTTGTCTGAAAGTGTCATTGTGAATTATTGATTACTTGATCTTTGTAGAAATTTTAATTCCAGAAAACAAAAATTTTTGTTGATAAAGTGACGACATATATTTATTAGATAATGGACAATTCCAAAGCAGATTACCTGACACAAAATAATAATTTTTTTTATATATTCATTATTGAAAATATTTTTTAAATTTAATATGAATAATAAATTCCATTTCTCGTACCGTTTATAGTTTTATTCATTTTTCAGTTGATTATCCTTGAGGCAGCCTCAAGAAAAGTCCTTTATCGTCGAGAGAAATCTTCAATTATCGATTCACAAGATCACCTTCCAGAAGAATGGAAAAAGAATATAAAAATCACGATAACACATTGGTACATGGAAAAAATGTTTTTGTAATCATTTTTTATCACACTTTAAAAAAAAAAATTTTTTCCTTATTTTACTTCAAAATTTTCTTCATTCAAAATTATTGTCTATTTATAAATAAAAATTTTTTTTTTAACTATACTGTTTCGATTTAGTTTAAATTTAAAGCTAATTATTTTTATTTAAATTAACAAAAATTTAAAAAACTGATTATGAAAAAATATGATTAAAACCTGTATTTTTTTCACTAAAAAATATAATATAAGTTATAATTTTATTTTTATTTATTAATTTATAAACATTTTTTCAGAATCTATTGAGAATGGAAGAAAATTCTGACAGTAACGGGTTTGAGATGGAAAAATGCGTGTTAAACGATCCGAGGTCTTGGAGTAAACTGCGAGCCACATGCTTCATTTTAGAATGAAGACTTCTACTGTCTGGTATTACATGTATGCTCGACTGCTTTATATTGCGGTACGTATATTATAATATATAATAATATTATAACGTTCAGACAAAAAAATCTTTCATTCTATAAAAATTCTCAAACGATTTTTTTCTCTTTTCTATTAATTTCCATCAAATTTCTTTTAAATATCGTCAGCATTTTAATTAATATTAAATAATTAAAACGGAATAAATAATTAATTAAATAATTAATTATTAATTATTTAATTAATAAATAATTAATTAATTCTTTATCAACTGACCTTAACATTAATAAATTACAATGAAATTATGTATATCATTATTTCATCAATTGAATTATTTAAAATTTGTTATTAATTTTATTATTTTAATAAGAGAAAAAATATTAAATTTTATGTTTTTAAAGTAATAAATATTATGAAAATGTTTGTATCAAGAAAATTTTCCTCTTTTTCAAAGTTGTTGATAAGGTCTGTGAATCTGTGTTTTTTTTTTTTTTTTTAATATTAATTGAAGTATAATTTCTAAAGTCAAACACTTTTTAACACGCGATATAGAAAATTATAGTCAACGGTATAAAATATGAAATTGTTGGAAGTTAAAAGAAATCTGCGAATGTATAATGAGCTGCTTGCGAAAAACTTATAGAGCTTAATTATGTACTTTATCCGGTGTAATTGATAATTCTCTCGTATCGTTCCACTATATACTGAAAAAATAATGATTACCCCTAGATAATTAGCAATTAACGTGGCATTTTTAAAACCTTCGTAAATTATCATAATTCAATTTCCCAATGACTTTTTTTTTTTTTTATCGGAGATTGCTAATTAATTTAATATTATTATAATTATTTTTGACGTAATTCGCATTTAATGACAAATTGGTGACAATATGATGAAAATAATTCAATTATTTAGAAAAATGAAAAAAGTTTATTTAAAATTCTACATAATATTCAAGTTGAATTAAATTCGTAAATTTTAAATTTATACAAGATAATTATAATATAATTTTATATTTTTAACATAACATATAATAATAATAATTCAACACGTGGATAAATAAAAAAATAATGATTAAGACATTTATTTTTTCATCAATTGCTAAAACAGTAAATTTGTCACTGATTTGAGCGTGGAGTCTATAGAAACAGTGGCACTTAACTAATTAGCTTCGTTTTGAACAGCTTGGAAACAAACTAACTGTACCACTTTAGGATCAATTTCCTGTCTGAGACACTCTTGGAAATCACATACGACGTCTAAATGTCATCATCTTGATTCATTTTATTTGAAAGACCTAAGAAATCTTCTTTGCATTTTAATCACATGCTTATTAAATTAATTAATATTTATCCCCAAAATTATTCATTCATCATAATAATTTGTAAACTATATAAAAATGACTCATTCATTTATTTTTGAATTTTCAAAAATTTAAATATAATTTGAGTTTTAGAAAATCGATCCATTCAAGTGAATTATTAAAAATTAATAATTTTTTTTTTGTAAAAAAATAATATCGAATATTTTATAATTAAATTATTAATTTTTAATCATTGATAATAGATGAGAAATTATTTCTTGTATTTGCACTATTAGAATGTGTTCTTTTGGATTGATTTTCAATCAGACTTTTCTGAAGACTAGATTCATTTTATAAATTATAAAAAAATTTTTAATTATCTCGTGGTCTTATAATGAATGTATGAAATATAGGCATCTGCTCCATGTATAAGTCCGACAAAACCGCTAAGCATCTGTAAATTAATTTTTTAAAATTTGTATTATTTTTTTCAGATATAAAATTTGAGATGATTTTTAATTACTTGAGAGAAGACAAGAAATAATTGATAATTTTACAGAATTAAAAAAATTTATAAATATTTTTTTTCTATTCTAATTAATAAAAACAAAGTATGTTCAAGTGGAAAAGTTCTTTTCAAATTTAAAATAATTGGAACTGATGACATCATATATTTAATACTACTTTTAAAATTCTGATTACAGAAGGATTCTTAAAAAAAAATTTTCTCTCGTGTAATTTGGAATAATAATTATACCTAATTGAAACTTACATAAGCTGCTGTCATTGCTGGATAAGCTTCGAATCCTGGCATCAAGTAGTACTGTGCCATAAGAAACATTTTTGTTGAAACTGCCAAAAAAGAAGCGGAACTCAAATAAAAGAAACAAGACAAACTGTTGAATATTACTTCCTAAAAAGAAAAAAAAAATATTAAAGTTTTTTTAAAATAAATACGTAATATATTTATACTTACAAAAAGAGAGGCACGAATGAGTCTATATGATTTTTCTGAGAGAAAGTAACACGCCAAAAGCACAGTTGATGTGAAAAAACAAGCAGAAGAAGTCGTTAAAGCTCCTTCAAAAGCATTTCCAATTGTTGCACTGTGTCGGAGGCCATAATTAATTAATAGACTCTGAATAAATCCACTAATCACCTGCAAAATTATCAGTTATTTCTTTTTTTCTTTAGTTAACTAATTAAAAATCCATTTTATTAATATAAAAATGTTAAAATTAAAACAAAAAGCGATTTATAATTAAAATGTTAAAAAAATTCAATTTAATTAGAATTTTTACTAATCTTAATTAATTTTGTGACAATAATCGATATATTGTTAAATTATTTAAATTAAAATTAATTATTATTTTAAATTTAAATCTAGACAATAAATATTAATTTACAAATACTTACGGTTTCGCATACTTTGAGAATGCCTGGTAAAGTTTTAAAAAATTCGAGATGTATACAAGTGCAACATCTGCAAAAACAACATTGAATTCCCCCAGCACCATGAGTATCATTAGACACCATCCTGATTATTGGTCCGGTATTTCTTTTCATTTTTTTTTTTCTTAATTCAATTTAATTTATGTCCTTTTTTAAATTTTATTCCCCGTTTCTTTATCTCCACGCACTTTAACAATAAATAAATGAAAGCACTTTATTGAATTAATTTCAAATTAATTATGAACAATATTATTTATTGTTATTAATTAACTTTATTACGTGAAAAAAAAAAATTGATTAATAATAATTAAATTTTTAAAAATAAATTCCTAACAATAAATATTTAAAATATAGTTATACTTTAAGACGTCTGTATTCAAATGCTGTTGAAAATTCACTGAGGGTGTTCATGAGATGCATCCCAAAAAGAAAGTGTCGTTGCACCCCCTGGGTCGTTAATAACACAAGGAAATCACTGTCTATTTCTGGCACGTGCCATGAACTTTGGGATATTGTGACGGTTCCCGCAGATGCTAAAACATAAAAAACCATTTTAAAAAAACATAAAAGCAAATCAAATCTAATTTTAAATCCGCTAAAAATTTTTTCATTATTATCTTTTATAATTTTCTTTCAATTTCTTTTTATATTCTCTTACAAGATGAAGTATACATTTATAAATATATTAAGATAATTAATTTATTTATTTATTGAAAAACATTTTTTTTATTCAAATAAAAATAAAATTAACGAGAATTTAAAAATATTTATTATTAAAATTTGATTTCTTCTTTAAAAATGTTAATTTTTATTTTTAATTATTATTAATTATCAAATTATTAAATTATTATTTATTATTATTAATGTAAATACGAAATTAATTTAAACATAGAACATTTCAATAAATTAATTTTTACTATCGTTTATTTAAAAACGTATTTATTTTTGTATAATAATGTATAATAATAATAATAATTGTTTTTTAATTTAATTTGTTTTTTTTTTAATTTTTATTCCATTGAGTAATAATAGTCTTTGTGTATTATTCCAATTATGAAATTTAAATTTCATTATTTTTAGATTGGTAGAAGTGTGGTTAATTCATTTGTAAAGGGTTGGCACTACTGTTCACTCGGTTCACTGTAATGGCGTCGTTAGTAGTTAAAGAAGTGTGGCGTGTTGGGATAACTTTAATTCTTTTAATATCGGTTAAATTATAATATTAATTGAAAATATTTTACAGCAATTAAGCTTAGTTTTTCCTAAATAAGTAATATATCGTAAAAGTATATTATGAACTGATAAAAATATGACAATATTTTTGGTCAAAAGACAAATCGTCAATCAATGGCGTTTTTAGACAATTTTCATAACAAATCCTAATAGAATCGCTTATGAAACATTAAATATTGTCATTTATGCATAATTGAGATTATGTTTTCATAATTAATTAGTATTTTGAATAATAATGAAAAATATTTTCACATCAATCTTATTACCGGTTGAGAGTCCTAGTCGGTAACGTAGACAAAACAAAAGAGTTCTATAAACTAACGATAGGGGGTACCAAAGAACGTTTCATATTCCCGCGAATAGTGTATTCCAACCAATCAGTGCGTTTCTACTTTTTATTTCTGCTCTGATAAAAATTTCTGTTAAGTCGTTGTTTTTGGCAATTTATTTTCTACATTTTTTTTCCTATAAACATGGTGAGTTAAATTATAGGTTTCTTTTTTAATTGTTGAAACCCTGTCTATTATGTAAAAAATAAACTTATATTTTTTTTTATTCACTTGCAGAGAAAGATGAAATCAAGTGTGCGTGAATCGTTCCAGTGGATATTATTTGTCATTGCTTCAACAGTTTTTTGGACTATTGGGAAGAATTCTTTAATCTTTAATTTTCGCCGTTTTCTACAAACTGGTTCAGGGAGAAGGGAAACAGAAGCAGAAGGAGTATTATATCGCAACGATGGAATTAATTCGCGATTGGTAAGTCCCTCTTGTCTCCAGAATTGTGGCGGAGTCAAGTTGTAACCTATTTGGAAAATTTCATAGTGACTGCTAATTGAATTAATATATTAATTAATTTTATATTATATATTTTTTCAATTGGAAAGTGAATTCTTCTCGTTTAATATATTGTGTTTCTTAGAGTCAGGTATTATTTTTCTTGGTATACATGTAAATTTTTTTAATTATTTTAAATATTAAATATTTAGAATTTAATTTTAAAATTAAAAATAAATTTTACAATTTAGTTCTTTTATATCTTCTCTTTTTATCATTTACTATTTATTATTTACAAATATCATTTACAAATAGAGAAGTAACAAATTTATGATCAAATAATACATAGGTTAGGGTATTAACAATTATTTTTTCTTTCAGGTAAAAGGTACTGTGTAAATTTTTTTTCTTCTATTAAAAGACAATTATAAATTATTGTCTTTTAATAATTTTTTTCACTTTGTCACTATGGAATTTTCTCCTTTTATCCACATCTAATTTATTTTAATCTTATTAAGTTTTATTGTTTCGATATTAATTTTCTACACTGAAAAAAAAATTTATTTGAATCAAATATTTCTTATTTAAATCAAATATATAGTATTTGAATAAAATATTTCAGTATTTGAAGCAAATACAATTTATTTGATTCAAATAAGAAATATTTGATTCAAGTAAATATTTATTTGATAATAACCAAATACACCGGTATTTGAATCAAATAAATTTTTTTTTCAGTGTATACGCATTTTTGGGGGGATTATAAAATTTTCTAACCTTATACACAACCATTGAATAATTTATTCAATAATTCTGAATTAATATTATAAACAAATTAAATTTATTAAATAATTTTAATAATTTTTTTTTTTAAATTAAATTAAATTAATTTTTCTTTTACACAATTAAATTTATTCACTTATTATTTATCATATATTTTACAATAAACAGTAGAGAGTATGAATAATAAGCATCGAAAAACATATTTATTAAACAATATATAATTGCAAAATATCTTGCATCGTAGAAAAAATGATTATATAAGTAGTTTGTTCATTGAAAATGAGAAGGACAATAAACACATAGTGTGAACAATGTTGATTTTTTATGCGACAATAAATTACACAGTGAATGAATTAAAATTTTTGTTTTTCGACAAAATTCGCGTTTTTAACTTAAATTATTAAAAAAAGTAACATAATTTTCTTATTATTCTCTATTATCTGCAATTAAAATATACATTAGTATACATAAATTGTATAATTATATTACATGTTTATTTAAAATACGATTTTCAATTAATTCAACTATATACGTTTATATAATTTATTCTAATTTCTAAACATCACTTCCATGTAATGAGAAAAAAGTAATTTTTATTTTTCAAAAAAAAAACATATACATTTATTATATAATTATAAAACACACATATAAAGTTTATTAAATAATTAATTTTAATTATAATTAATAACATATATTAAAAATAGTAAAATTTGAAAAATTTCAATTATTTTGAATTTTTTTTTTTTCTTATATTTATTTATTTAATTTAAATAAAATTTGTTTAGCTGATTTAATAATAGGTACTTTTTTTTTTAAAAAAAAACTTTGAAAAATACTGCTTTCTACTTATTTCTCATTGCATCACTATAACATTAATTATATAATTTCGAATATATTTCAATGTCAGACGAATAAAGCACTTTTCAAAGCCACAATAAGTATTGAGGACATATAAGCGTAACATGATTGTACTTGTTCTTTTATAAAATTATAATATTTCAATATAATAATATAAATTTTCTTAAAAGAATAAAATACAATTTTTTTTAACTTATCTAAAATATTTTATAAAATTTGAAATATATTTTTTTTGACCCTGACATTTCAAGGTTTCGTAAAAAATATATTTTTAGGCACATATTATTTTGAAATATAATATAAATAATTCTTCTTTAAGTACATTGTATAAATTTTTTCAAAAATTCAGTTCGATATTCAGAAGCAAGTGTAAAAAAAATTACACAATATTTAGACAATTTTTTTTTTTTTTTTTTAGTGTGCGTAGACAATAGTTAATAAAAAAAAAAATTAATTTAATCTATATATACTAATAATGGCAGTATTTAAAGATTAATATTAAAAAAGTAATTATTTTTTAAATTGACAACATTCATGAAATTTTTTTTTTTAATTTAAAAACTATAAATTTCTTACATCTTATTTAAATATTATGAGTGACATTATTATTTTTTTGTATGATACTGTTACAATAATCTATATTAAATTATAATATTGCTACGTATTTTATAAAATAATTATATATTCTATGAAATAATTATATTATAAAATAATCATATTATAATTTAATATACAATAACTAAGTTATAAAATTTTTTTCATTATTACAATAGTACCTCAATAATATTGATGATTTCATTTTGAACTTTAACTTATTGAGGTTCTATTTTATAATTTGTCGATTCAGTTAAAATTTATTTTATAAAATATACTAAAAAAAAAAACAGTTTTTAGTGTAACTGAAGTTGAAAATGTAGATTTTACCTTTCCACTTACAGAGGTTCTACTGTAAAATAGAATATTTAATACAATTGTAATTTAAATTTTTAATTTTAAAAAAGAATTTTTATGTCAAATCATTGATAAAATTTTTATAATCCTCTGTAAGAACGGAAAGCGATGATGACGCTTAAAAGGTACAAAACTGAATTGATCAGTGCACAAATCTGTAACAAAAATTAAAATTTAAACTTTAAATTTATTCTCTCGCCTTCTCACCCCCTCATTATTATTTTTTAATAAATACTTACAGCTGACGCTAAAAGTAGATTATACTGATCTGATGATCGAACTATTCTTTTGTCCAATTTAATAAAAAGTACCACAGCCGTAATTAATATCAGTAAACATGCTAATCCATGGTATATGAGTTCCTAAAATATTTGAATTTAAAAAAAAAAAAATAATTTTAATTAAAATCAAAATTAAATTAATTTAAATCAAAAATTCGATTATATATATGAAAAATATACTTACGAAAACAGTTTTTGTTAAAATAGATTCCGTTGAAATTGATGCTGTGAAGCTTAATAATAATATAAAAGTTGTTATCATAAATGTTGTAACTATTAAGAAATAAAATAATGAAGGTGGAATCATAATATAGGAATAACTATAACCTATTAGGTAATATTTATCGAATAAATATCCCATCAGTCCAACACATACTATGCCAAGTGCCTGTAAATAATAAATTTTTACACATTAAAAACAAGTTTAAAAAAAATTAATTCAAATTATTTAAAAATGAATAAAAATAAACAAAAACTATTAATTAAAAACAGAATTTAATAAAACGAAAATATTTTTCTATTTAAAAAATTATTATAACAAAATAAAAAATATTTTAATTTAATAATTTTTTTCCTTTAATTTACTAATAATATAAATAAAAATATATAATTAAATATACAATTGGATTTAAAAATTTTTAAATAGGAATTTCATATAGACGCATGAATTGAATTTTAAAATAATGTGTCATAGAATAATTTTTATTGAAATTTGCATTTTTAAAAACACATACCAATTCAAGGACTTTTAAAAGTCCACTCCATGATTTCAAGTAGCCAGTATTAATGATAATAGCTGATGAGCTGCTCGTCACTGTTTGTGTTCGAATTGTCACAGAATGAGACATTTTTAGGCCTTAATTAATTTCTGAAATTAACAAAAATCACAATAAGAAATTTTAATAAAATTTTTTATATTTTCTGACACATTTATTGTTAATAATTCAAATCTAAAAAAAAAAAAAATCTTCATTGAAAGATATCGTGGATAATAATCCCCCTACATGGAAAGAAATATGCTTTTTTTTTAAATGTATTATCAAACAGAATTAACTTCTGAGTCATCATGTATTTTTGAATATGACTTCAATTTTGAGAAATATTAATATATTTTAATATTATATTTAATCATTTTTTACATGTGAATGATGTATAAATAAAAATTTTTTTTTTTTGAAAACATTTGAAAATATTAATTTGGATTAAAAATGTAATGGTTTGTGGTTAGTAATTCTTAGGTTTTTTTTTTCTTCTTCTTCTTGCACCTTCAAATTGAAGGTATTATTTTTCTGAGTAGGTCGATTAAAATTAGTTGAAAAATTCATTAAAGGTTACACGATTAAAGCTGAAAGAATCTGGGCTATTTTCTGCAATTATTAGTCATTAAAAAACAATGTAACTTCCTTCTTTTATTAAGCCTTTGGTCAAAAGCAATGCGAGCGTGTTGTACACTTTGAAAAACAGGGACAAGGTCGAGATTATTGGAGGTGCGACCTACATATAGCGAAGAAAGCAGGAGTCTCCCATACAACCAAAAATTATTACTTAATATTTCACCAAAATAAAAATTAATTTTAATTAAAAAATTTTTTTTTTAAATTAATTAAATATTAAATTTAAACTATAAAATATTTCTAAATTAATTTTTGTAAATTTTATTCCAAATTCACAACTTTAATGGAATTGTTAATTATCGATCGATAATTACGAAAATCTTTTTTTTTAATCTGACTTGAAAATAATTTTTTTATTTGATAAAAAAAAAATTTGATAAAAGAAAAAATAATTGAAAAACAAAATTAACAAAAAATTTTTAAAAGTAAGAATTAATTAACGTTTTGAAAGTGACTATTAAAAAAACAGTTTGAAAAAATAATGTAATTTTATCAACTTTTTATTTTTTTTTTTTTGCACGACTTTTTAATAAATTTTTTTTTTCTACAATATAAGTAAAAAATTTTTTGTAAATATTTTTTTTTCTTTCTTTGCGTTATCAGATACAGTGTATAAAGAATATACAATATACATAAAGCACTCCCATAGTCGCGTCTCTAAGGCGCGTCTCAACACAATCAATACTTGCGGTAATAAATTTCATATGAAGCTTTCCCTTTCATTGATTGAGCATTTTATCAGATTATTAAAATAAAATTTAATTAAAGTTATCCATTACTGAAAAAGTATATCAAAGTAGAAAAAAAAAAAAAAAGTTGATATTATAACCAACAGGTGTTATGCGCACTACTATAATGAAAAGTGTAAACAACCTGTTCTGAATCAGCATCAATGAAAATATGACAGAATAGAATCTTCAATAATTACAATTTAACCTTTCAATCAAGAATGCAGACAAATTACTCATATTTTTTTAATAGTTACATATATTCAATACGCTAATCAATCGTCATTTTCTATTTTTATACTCCGAATAAAACAAGTTTTTTAAAAAATAAATACTATAATTTAAAAATTTGTTCATAATTGATTCATTTAATTAAAAAAAAAATGATTTGTACTTGATAATTTTTTTTTTTTTTATTTTCAAATACATTTGTTATTCAATTTCAAATATTTTATATTTTTAGTTTGACATTTAATTAGATAAATTTTGGCACTACATTTAATTGATTATATTGATTATTAATATATGACAAGTTAAAAAAATATTGCTATAAAAACGTGAGGGGTTGGGATTTTTAAAAAATTTGATTTATTTTATATCTAAAACGACGGGGAAATGACGTGTATTTATTTAAATTATTGGCGGTCATTTATTTTAAATATAGATAATTTTAACATAAAATTTTCGAAAGAGATTGAGATCATCGGATTCCAAAAAGAAATAAACTTTAAATATGCACCCAATTTCCTTTTTGCGAGGTGATCCAATGGTATTTTCTTAGAACGCGAAATAACAAGGCGTCATCGCGGGTTATTTTTAAGCACGACACACCATACGTATTATATACATCAATCACATGTAAACAATTTCAAATACCATTTTTATCAATTATTAAAAAAAAAAATTTTTTTTTCTTTCAATTACGAATTATTTTTTAAAAATCCTCTTTTTTACCACTATAACTTATGTTAATTTCAATTTTCCCATTTTCTGATAAGTTTCCCTTTTTTCAAAAATTAAAAAAAAATTTTTTGAATTCCAAATTTTTTATTTTGAAATTGTGTCAATTTGAATTAACATGAAATAGAATGGAATTTATATTGAAATAAAATAAAAGTTATTTAGAAAAAATAAAAAAAAAATTATAACGAAAAGAAAAATTATTATTCTTTTATTTTTAATTATTATTATTATTATAACGCGAATGCAGAAATTTGAGAGGGAAACTCAAGGTATATAGAAATTGTATGAAGCCACATTGAAAATAATACCGGTTTTTAGTATACAGAATTTTTATTTTTTTATAAAATTTATAATGAAAATGAAAAAAAAATTGTTATTTATAATATTTATTTATGAATGATTAATAACTGACTGACCTTAAAGGCGGGAAATCTGGTCGACTGCTCGCGATTGACTGAAACTAAAAGATCTTCCTTCACAAACTATACACCCGTTACTACACAATATTCTATACGTCATCGATGATATCATCAACCCACGCACACTAACGAATTGTTTCATTCCTACGTGTGCAAAAAAAAAAAAAAAAAACTAAGGCGCGCGACTGCTTTTTATAAACAAAAATAACAGGGTCAATTTTTTTTAGTCTTTTTTCTTTATTTACAATTTTTTTTTTTTTACAATAAAAATATATAAATTATTTATTATAATATAATAAAAAAATTTTTTTAAAAAATATTGAATTAAAGAAAAATTTTTCTAATTAGTTTTACTAATTATTTTTTAGTTGATAAAATTGATATAATTAAAAATAATAAACAAATTTAAAAGTTCATCATTTATATGAAGTTATTTTTATATTTAAACAAATAAAATAATTCGTTTTATTATTATTTGTAAAATAAATTAATACATAACTAATATGTAATTTTAATAAAATTGGAGATAAAATTAAAAAATTTAGGAATTCATATCAGGGAATTAATTAGGATTTGAAGATAATAAGTAAACGTTAGTGTCCCACCTCGGAAATTTTGTTTTCTTAACATTAGATAAAATCATTCGGTTTTTCTTATTATTAAAAATCTTCATATTCAAGCTTAATTTGTTCAAAATCATTATTTTTGTTTGTGCGTACTAATTTTAAATGCAAGACAATTTTTCAAGTTTCCTTATAAAATACTTCCGGAAAGTCCAAAAAGTTTTTTTTTTTTTTAATAATTCAAGGAGTTTTTCTGCTCTTGTAATATCCATACACTTTGGATGATTGAAAATTAACATTTTTGATGTTGTAAAATTACTACTCCATTTGTAAGGTGACGTGAAAAAATTTTGAATTTTAAATTAAATAACATCAAAATTCAAATGATGTATTCCTTAATTCAGTATTATTAAAGCATCTAGTTCTCTTTTTTTAAATCTTTTATAATTTTCTTCCTTGGATTTTTTTCCCCTTTTTGTTTTCATCAGTTGGAAGAAATCCAACGAAATTTATTATTTTTTTTTTTTAAACCGCTATAATAAATAGAATTTTTACACTTATTCCATAAATTGAAATCAATTACACTATTCAATTCGGCGTTAAGTTTTATTAATCGTCCATTATTTAGGAATAAATACACTTGGAAAATAAAAAATAAAATGTCAAAATGGATATACATAATGGGACACACTTGATGACCTTAACTTAAATATATATATATGTAATATTTCTATTTAATAAGTAACAAAATCGCGAAGAATTTTTATTAGATAAATGCAGTTCTCGATTTCTCAACAATATAATTATATAATTTTTCCCAATATAATTTCTCATAGTTAATTCATATATTCAATATTATGCAAAATATTAATTAGTTAATTTATTTATTTTTTTATTTTGAAATTCGAGAAATGTTTTTACAGGCTTGTATAGGAACTTAAATAAAATTAATAAGGTTATAATAGGCTTAAAAAAAGAAAAAAAAAATTAAAGAAATAAAAAGAAAAATGAAAAAAAAAAAAAGAAATTAGAAAATGCATTGTGAAAGCTTAGGTACAATTTTTCATCTAAATTAATATTCTTAATGATTTCAACAATTATGACTATATGTTCATACTTCACGTTACAATACATAATTAATGATAATTGTTCTTGTTCAAAACCTGTACGACATCTTTATTTACAAGTCTCGTGTCGGTGCTTTACATAAATAATTACTTACGTAATAACATTTAAGAAGTTTCGTATCAAGATTAAGTATCATTATAATTCAAGTCTCCTAGAGAAAAATTCTGTAAATCGTGCGGATTTTCAACAGTTCTTCAATCAGTAATATATAGTATAAAAATTGTACTTTCAATCTTACAAAAACAAAAAAAAAACAAAAATAATATCCGCCATATCGATTCAGAATTTTTAAAACAGTAGTTATGAGTCAGCGACTGACGATTGTACTAAACGCAAATTTCTCTTTTTTTTAATAACAATGCTTTATGATATTTTAATGATATAAAATATTATATTATTTATATATGTATATATATATATGTATATTTATATATTATATTTAAATTCAAGAAACATTTAGGATCTTGGGAAAAACGTGTACTTAAAAATCTGATAATCCTAATTAATAGTTGCGCTGGACGGGTTCAATTTTCCAAAGATGTTCATTTACAAAATATAATGATAATGACATAAAGTGGAAAAATTTTTAATTTAAGTGCCATTATTTTCATTGAAATTGTAATTATTTAATTTCTATTTTTCTAATTTTTCGTCCGAAAAAAATTTGCAATGATTGAAATTAAATATTTAATAGTTTTTAAATTATTAAATATTTCTTTCAAACATTTTTTATTAAATATTCTTTATCAAAATTTACTGTATCTATATATCAAATAGTTTATAAAAAATTTTTTATTAAAAATTTTTTATTAAATATATGTTTTTATATCAAATATGCTTTATCAAATATTCTCTAATGAATATTTCTTTTATTGAATTTTTGTACGTTTTGTGTGATATAATTATAAATCAATATAACTGAATTATTTCTTGGGATATTTTTTTTTTTTTCTTTACACTTTAGTGCGTTGGAAAATAATAATCATTTTGGACGAAAAATGTTCTCTTTGAGAAGAATAGTTTTTTTTTTAATTACGTTAAAATTTTAAATAAAAATTAACAATGTGGAAAGAAACGGAAATTAAAAATAGAGAGAAAAGTGGCACTTTCAAAATACAGTGATTGGCTGGTTTGTGAAATCGAAGCTATTAATAAAGAAATATAACTAAATAAATTAAATTTGTTGAGAACTTTTTGAAACCAAAAAAAAGAATATTATGCAATTTCCAGACACATAAGAGCTTTGGTTCAATTTCCACGATTTCTGTTTATAACAATTAATAATAAATTCTTGTGAACAAAAATAGAAAAAAAAAAAAAATTTTAATTCACCCAGTAGAAAATTATTTCTTTTTAATTATAAAAAATATTTATGATTAAATTTACATAAATTTAATTTTATAATGTTATAATAAATTTTTATTTTCTTTATAGCTTTAATTATCAATTCATTTTTCCAAAAATGAAATTTTTACAAAAAAATAGAAATTTACTTGTGAAAAAAAAGTTACCATTTTCATGTCTGGGTGATAAAATTTTTTTTTCGTACAAATTTTATGGAATTACTGTTGAAATCGCAGATCAAGACTTTGAATGTTTGCAAGGACAATAAGGCACATTGGTACTATTTTGTTTGAATTATTTTTTTTTTTTTTTTTTTTTTTTGTTGAAGTCCTTCGAACAATCATTTCGTCGGACTTGGAGATTTTTTTATGGATTTCTCATGAATCCTTGAAATTAACGGAGGATTTTCCGAATGATCAAAAGTGTTAAATACTCCTTCAGGTGTGAATTTTCACTTCTCATTGTGAGGTCATGGTTTTGTATTCCACGAATAGTAAATATGCTCCTAAACCATATGCCACTGTTGTGAACAATCCAAATACCTGAAATAAAATAATTTTTATTATTTAACAATTTTTTTTTTTTCTAAAAACGGAAATAATAATTTATTAAACAGTAAATATATTAATTACGTACTCCTCCAGTTATTGCAGCTCCTTTATTGTAATGACTTGGATAAGAAATCAGTACAGCGAGACACCCAGTGAAATAGAAAAACGTTATTCCAGCTGTATACATTACTTCCTGTAAAATTATTAATTAATTTTTATTTTAAATTCATATCTTAATATGAGAAATTGAATGTAAATAAAATTTAAAAGATTAAATCTTACCCAAGATAATACATTTTGAAGAGGATATTTTGTTGATTCTCGGAGATTAAAAGCGTAGACAACAATTAAGAGAAAAGTGATGATAAAAGCTACTGATCCAACAAAAAGAAACCAACTTGCTGGCGAAAATCGAGGAGCTGCTCCGACACAGATCATTGAAATTAATCCGAGAAGCTGAAAAAATCGAAAAACAGAAAATAAATAAAAACAAAAATTAAAATTTAAGAATACTTTCAATATTAATTCCATAAAATTTGTATACACAATGTTTATATATTGTCTCTCTAAATCTAAATAAATAAAATTTAACTTATTTAGATTTAGAGATTTTTTTTTCATTAATTATTAAAAAAAAATTTTTAATAATTGGAATGGAGATATGAAATTTTTAATATAATTGCCTAACAAGAATAACTTGTTATGTATATTATATTTTGTTCTAAACCCTGTGGGAACATTACTAAGCTTAATCTACTTTTGAAAAGAAATTCTATTGGTAAAATAAAGTGCAAATTTCTTCTTTTCACACCGCAAATTGTGTTTCTTGCAAAGCAGAATGTGTTGAAGATTCGCTTATCTTATCGCCCCTTACATAGTCATTGTCAAGCTTATGCTAAACATTTAACCTGTAAATATATTTATACATGTGCTCAACACAAGAATTTTATTCAATTTTTATTCTCTACATTTTTCATCTTTAAAATAATATTGAGGAAAAATGAGCTATTAAAATTTTGATATTTTATTTGGTTACATTTATAGAATATACATTAAGTAATTAAAGAAAATATAGAATGATATAATACAAATGAAAATTCATGTTTTGAATTTCAAAACAAACCTCGTAAAATTTGTAAATCAATCTATTTTCACTAACAACTCCCTACGTCTTCCTTCTCTTATGGCAGAGTTCCAATCAAATTTTGGAACAAAAGATGTTTCATGTAGTTTTTTAAGAGCTTCGTCTTTAATTTTGGAAAATTCTTCTTTATAATTTTTTTTTTCTTCTTCAGATCCTTTTTGAAAAATATTTTTTATATCCGATTTCTCCTTTCTTTCAACATATGGTAATTCCATACATAAAAGATCCTTGAAATATTTTTCCTTTAATAATATTTCCTGTTGAGCTTTTTTTAATTTAAAATTTCTATCATTTTGCTGTTGAACCAATGGCAATCTACTATCTTCTAATTGCAAAGGATTGTATCCCTTTTTTTTTAATAGAATTTTATTCATTCTCTTATGATCTTGAGATTTCCAAATATCAGCTTTTGGTTTCTTAATCATTTGAGCTTTCTTTTCAGCTTCGAGTCTTAACAATTCCTCTTGCTCCTTTAGAAATTTTTCCCTTGCTTCTTGATGTCTTCTTTTAGCTTCATCGGCAGCGCGTGTTTTTTTCCTCTCAATAGCTCTGGGATTTGTTTTTAGAAAATCTGATTGCCAAAGAAAGAAATTCCTCTTTCTTTTCACTTCCCTCCAGACAAATTCCTCAAACCATTCAATTCTTTCAAGGGATTCTTCATCGGATTCTTCTGGTTCGGAGAAAATTTTAAAGGCTCCATTATGATCACAAATTCCAATAATTTTTGACGAGAGACGTGAATATAGGCCTGTAATTGGTCCAGTGGATATAAATTGTAAATAAATTGGTTCTTGAGTTTTTCTTGTAATTTCCCAAATTTCAAGTTCACCATCAAATCTAGCTAAGAGAAAAATTCCTGCTCTACTGCTCCAACAGCAGGAAGTATAAAAACAACATCTTTTTCTCCATAGTAAAGGAGAATCTAAATAATCATCTTTCCAAATAGCAAAAATTCTCCCTCCAATTGTCAATATCACATCCTCCAAAAATGGACATCTGTATATTGAAAAATTATTTTAATTTAACCAAAGAATATATATAAAAATTAAAAATTTTTATTTACCTAGAAATTTCCAACACTGGTCCATCGTGAACAGTAGAACGATTCAAAAAATTACATCTTTCCAAAGATGATGATTCTGTTTCAAATTCTTGTCCCATCCAAGAGCAATTAATAATTTCACCTTCGGCAGTTGCTACCAAAAATCTTTTTAATAATTCATTTGTTCTCTCATCCAAATCTTTTGTCCTTAAATTTCCATCCTTGACAAAAGGAAGACATATACTAGTTGGTGAAAAACACCAAGATTCTTTAGGAAGTTGAAGTAGAATTTGATAAATAGGCCGAAGAATACCATTAAGTCTCTTTGGATCAAAGGATTCAAGAATATTAGTTTTTCTTGTTTTTGAACTAGGTCGGGAAATCACTTGCCATCGTAGATCCCAAATTGACAAAAGACCATCATCAGAAGCTGTGGCAAATTGTAAACTTTTTGCAAATGATTTTTGTAAACTACCATCGACTCGTATTTCATACCATGAGGGTAACCATTGTATATCTTTTATTGGAAAATTAAATAAAGTTTCTTGATTCGATACTACCACGGGTTTTATAATTGGAATTTCAAAATAAGTTTCATTAAAAATTAATAAATTTCGTAGATCCCAAATAACAATTTGTCCACTCGAACTACCTCCGACAAGAATATCCGGTTTGTATGGACAAAATGATATAACCTGAATTGTATCATGAGATGCTAATATCATTTTTGGATAAAGAGGTTCTGAACAGGACCAAATTAGCACCTGATTTTCAAGATAATGATTGTCTTCATTGTCTTCGATGATTTCATTTTTACAATCTTCATTTTTTTGATTATTATCTTGTGCGGAGTTATTCTTATCTTGTTGAAGCTTATCATCATTGTCAATCTCTTTATCTTCATTGGCATTTAATTGTAAATCGGCAGCATTGTTGTTAAAATTATTTTTCATTTTATTAATAGTGGATGATTTTATTTTAGTTTCTTTTTCATGAACATAACATATTGCAACAATATCATTTGTAATTGGATGCCAGGAAATGTCGGAGATAATTTTTTTATTAGTGAAATTTAAATTAATTAAAGAATTATTTTCTTTGTATATAATTTGATTGACGAGTATTGGTTCTTGGGCAATGTTTTGAATGAGATTTGATATGTCATCGGTGTGTAAATTGATGACTGTATTGTATCTAATGACATCTGTCACTTCACAAATATTATTATCGAGAAATAATTCTAAAGATGATAATTTTTTTAACTTATCTTCATTTTTTTCCTCGTCAGTTTGTAATGATTCTTTACTCGTGTATTTTTCACTTTCATCTATTTCTTCTTCCTCATTTTCTGTATTTTCATTATTTTTTAACGTCTCTTCATTTGAAAAACAATTATATTCATATTGAGTCCATTTGTTTTTTGGATATCCGGGATATGTTTGAACGCTATTCTCTCGACTTATAAGATTTGTTTGTACTGATTTGCAAATTAGGTTCATTTTAACATTTTCAAAAATTTCGTATTGTGGGACAATCTTCACGTATCTGAAAGTATTTTTATTATAATTTTTTTTTTTTTTTTTAGTGACAATGAAGGTTTAGTTTTTTCTTTTTTTGCTAAATAAATAATTTTGTTTCATTTCTGTTCTTTTGCTGGAAATATTAATTTTCTAGCTATACAATCAATAATTCACACGTGCTTTTTATGAGAAAAAAGTTGTTGAGAATTGCAATGACTTTTATTTACTTCTAGGTGAAAGGAATATTTTATAAAGTTTAATATTTCAAAAGTATATATTTGCTGTCTAAAAAAGAATATTTAATAAAAAAAAAATTAGTTTTTCTTGTATAAATTTAATACTTGAATTAGAAAATATCTGATTGAAAATATAAAACTTTAATTCATACCCATCTCGAATACAATCAACGGCACGATCTTGAAGATCACGATTCTGTCGTATGTGACAAATTGGCAAAGAAACATCAACTTCATAATAGGGTCTTGCATTCTTTAAGAATGTAAAGTCAAGGTCATCCTCAGTTCCCAATGAACTCCAGGGTCGTGGGGTCTTTTCCACTTTCATTCTTACATAATCATGAATCTTTCTATTTCTATCTCTATTCCTTTGAACCATTATATCACGTGCAATTTCCGTAAGGCAAATAAAAAATTCATTTGATTTTAATTCCCTTGAAGCATAACCTATCAAAAATGTTGAATCCTTGTACAATTCAATTTGATCTTTATATTTTTCAAATGGCGATTGATATTTGTTTGAGAGTTTTTTGACTATTTCAGAAGGAACATATGCAAATGGATATTCAAGAAATACGTCCTCATTTATAGCACAGTTCAATAGCTGTTGAATTTCCGGTTTGAGACTAACTTGTTCCACATCTTCGATATTTTCGTTCAAAAACGACCAGCTTACTGGACACTTAACCCCTTTTCTTGACATTTTTCTTGTGAGAGTTTATCTTATAGATGAGTCGCGTTACTATACTTATTTGATCAAGAAGCCTATATCATTGATCAAACAGGTTTTCCCTTGCGTCTTCCCTATTGCATGGCGGGGTCTTTGAACTTACTCTGGTTTTCAAAAACTGTTTTTTTTTTTAGTAAGAAATCATTTAATATAAATAAATTAGTTTTTATAGTTAAAAAGAAAGAAATTCAATTTTGAATAGAAAAAAGAATATAGAATTTTAAATTAGAGTAGACTAAAATAATGCTCACAATTGTTGAGGTTTGAGAGAAGGTATAATAATAGATAGAGAAAGAAGGCTAATGATGAATATTATGAAATCATCTTTAACGAGATGAGGAATGTCATATAGAAGGGTGAATGCACTAGTAGGTGTGAACGATTGGAACTTTGAACATTCAACTGGCAAATAGTGGAAAGAATTTTACTTTCACCTACATGGAAAGAATTCTCACTGTCGCCACTGACTTGTTTCCTATATGCTTTTCTATGCTTCTATTTTCTATACAAGTATATATATATATATATACAAATCGTTCTATATAGCGGTAAATCCTCATAAAACGAACATAAAACTCGTACAAAGTGAAATAAATTATAAAGAAATACTTTTATCTAAATAATTTAAATTGAAAAAAATTAAATTTAAAAAAAAAATATTTTTTCTAATAAAAATTAATAATAATTATAAAATATAAAAAATATTTCTTTGAAAAACAAATAAATGAATTATTAAATTATTTCTTTAATTAATTAATGTATTCAGTTTGATATATAACTTGTCAAAAAAGTTTTGAATTTATTTAAATAAGAATAATTAGAAAATAAGGACATTCGTTGAAGGTCTGTGTTAAACTTTCGCGAACTTATGTTCAACTATCTTGGGGAGTATTGCTTGTAAGTGTCTGAATGTCACGTGCTATAAATATAAGCATCGTAATGAGCAAAATGAGTAAAAAAGACCGACGTGTCAAGCGCATAGTTACAAACGTTAAATATGGAATAAAATCTAATAAAACAATAAATATTTTTATTTAAAAAAAAATGCTTCTCTTTATATTTTACAAACAGAAAAAAAATTTTTTTTTCTCTAAATCTGAATTAGTAAAAATGTTTACTAATTTAAATTAGTGACTCACTTTTTGCTTTAGAATTAGTTAAATTTTACTAATTGTTAGTAAAAGTTACTAATAATTAGTAAAATTTTACTAATTCAGATTTGAGTTAATAATACTTGAGTATTATCAAATAAATAATATATTTATTTGAATCAAATAATTTTTATTTGAATTAAATAATTTTTATTTGAACCAATAATTTTTGTATTTTAAATAAATTGATTCAAATAATAATTATTTGATAAAAATAAATATTTATTTGATAATATAGTCAAGTAATCGAGTAATTGAATCAAATAAATTATTTTTTTCAGTGCATTAATTTAATGTATTCTATATACAAGAAATATTTTTTTATTCTTGAAATGAATAATAAAAAAATTTACTATACTTCTTTTATTACTGAAAATTATGTAATTATGCTACTTGTCGAGTAGTAAATAGGATGTGACATTAAAATGAAAAGAAACAACAAACGTGACATGAAATTTAGAGAAATTTTGTACCTACGCATTTTTTTTTTTTTTTAAATAAATTATGAAATTTTTATGATCTCGTTAAAAAGTAGTTTCATTTTTCTTATGTTTGTTAATTTTTATTTTTTAATTCTTTTTAGTTATTTAATAATAGAAAACTTCTATAGAAATAAGCTCCAAAAATCTTTATTTGAAACAGCTATATGTTTTTTTTTTTTCGTGAATAATATATTTAATTCACCGTAGTAATAGATGCATATTTATTGTGGACCTATAACCCTGATATTATAATAAATATAGGATTATATGCATATTCTAGTCTATGGGTCATCTATGTCATTAAGCAAAGCGTTTATAACATGCTTTATTGAAACATGTATGTAATGACTTCAAAATTGTCTTCTGTGTAATTCACTAAGCAAAATACCCGTGGGTAGATAATCAGAGGATACACTATTTTAACTCTATATATTTGAAATCGCAATAAAAAATGTAACAATACGTACAATCTAAAAAAAAACATTGCAGACAAATTTTTTGCTTTATTCGCAATTAAAATTTTGATCCTTTTCGACCATTATTTATCTTATTACGATTCACCTGAAAAATTCACAATTTACTAAATTATTATTTATTATGTTTACTAAATGATTTTTTTGATAAGATTAAAAATTCCTTAATACAGAATAAATAATCACATTATGAGTAAATAATTAATAATAATAATAATAATAATAATAATAATAATAATAATAATAATAATAATAATAAATAATAATAGTTAATAAAATGATCTTGACATTTTTTTTTAAATGAGATTTTAACACTTAACTGATATTTAAGACCTTTAAAAAAAACCCATGACTCATTTATGACGACGTGTGAGTGATAAGTGATTTTTTTGTTAAAATTAAAAATTTTCTAATAGTAAAAAATTGGGAAATTTTTTTATTAAACAATATGATATCATTGTGATAAATTAAATATTCTCGTAAAATAATTAAATACTCTAAAAAAAAAAAAAAAAATTGGCACTGAAACTTGGCAGTAATTTTTTTTATATATTTATAAATTAAATAAAAAAATTTATAATTGGGCATTGAGCCAAGTTCTTATTAACTATAAATTTTCTCATTAATTAGCTTTATATTATATATAAATAGCAAGGGGTTAACAACTTATGATATAGAAATTTTATATATTTTTTAAAATGATAAAAATATTAATTTTTTAAAAATAATTTCGAATTTTTTCTATATCAGTTACTTTTTTGAACGAACTTTTTTTTTCTTCATCTTTTTGCGCCTTTCTAAATTTTTTTTTTTTTTTTTTTTTTTTTTTTTTTTTTTTTTGTCATACTAAATAGAATAAACTTAATTTAAATAACAATAAATGTCATCCTTATGCAAGAAACTTTTTAAAATAATTGCTTTTCTACATACTATATGAGAAGAATATTTATGTCACCATTGAGAAAAGATGTGATTGACTCGTGTATAATAATTATAAATTAAAATTCACTGCACCTAACGTAAAAATCCCTTACTCTATTAGATTTCAATTTTTTTTTGGAGAAAAATTTTTTCTATTATTATATAGACAAAGGTCGAGAGAAAACTTTTCTAAGAATTCGACTTTCGTTCATTATATATGAAATTATAATCTTAATTTAATTCATTAGTCAGTTAATTTTAATTAAATTAAATTATTTAAATTACGTCATCTTTGGGAAGTAAAAAAAAAAAAGAATGTGGGTCCAGATAGAGTGTAGGGCACTTTTGCTGGAGAGATTTTAATGAAGTTAAAGTGAAACTTTAATGAAATTTTAAATAAATGAGAACAATATCATTGAAGCGAAAAATCACTGGTAGGCCGATTGGGTTCGTTTACATTGGCATAGAGCCAGGAAGCGAATTATATCCGCCCTCCATCTGTTGATCGAGGAAACCAGGAGTGGCTGTATTAGTTTGGTTTAACTTACAATGTTACGATATATATATATATATATATATATATATATTATGACAAGTAAAAATAGTCAAAAATACTGCAAGGATGTTGCAAAACTTTAATTTTTTTTCTCAATTCTTATAACAAACGCTCTTAGAGTTTTCACTAATAGATTCTGACTTCAATGTGTAATAACAATCTCTCTTTGATATGTAAGAAAATTAAGGAACAATGCCATCGTTTTCAATTCTTGTTCACGATTTGATTAAAAATATTCCACTTTTATCGAGAAATTTATTTTTTAGTTAACATTTATAGATTTAAGATTAACATTTAAAAGCATATAATTTTAAAAATTAAAATTAGTTTTAAAAATTAAAATTAATTTTAAAATTTATTATAAAATGACTAAAATTTCTTTGGAAATTAAAATAAATGAATCAATTGAGATATGAGGGCTAAGGTCTTTTAGCAATTAGGCAATAATTATACATATACGAATTGAGATAATTTGATTGAAGATACCATTATATTTTTATTTTTTCATATTTGAATTCTTATTCATTTTTTTATTTTTTAATTTTTAAAATTCAATAATAAAATTTTTGATAATAATAATAAGAGAATTTTATGTAAATATATAAAAAAAAGGAATATATATGAGAAATAATAATTATAATTTAAAGTTATAACTCGGATAATAAAATGAAAAAAAAAAAAAAATGGAACAGTCGATGATGGGGGGGAAAAAATTTACCGTTAGTTAAAAGACATCTTTATTATTTTGTATTTGCATCACAGCCATAACTGTATCTTAATCAAATTATTCCTGATTATTATTAATTTTTCTTTAAAAAAAATATCTATTAAATTTTATATATATATAATTATAATCTTTTGCACCTTAGTCAAATATCTCTTGTATACTTTACGTAAAACTATTTCAGTCCCATTATCTGTGAGATAAAGGTATCGTTCGATGAGAGTATACAATCTCTCGATTGAATTTTATGACATTTATCAAAGAACTGATTTTTTTTTTTTTTTTTTTTTTGAATTAATGACAATTTTAAACAGAATAATTTTTAATATTAATTTAATTCGTTTTAAAAAAATACAAGATTTAATTTCTTTTTAATTAAAATAATTAAAATCAGGGAAATTTTTTTATAAACATATAAAAAAAATAATAATTTAATATAAAATAATATGGATATATGTGAAAAAATTTTTTTCGGATATGGTATTTAAAGCGAATATAGACAAAATAATAATGACATAATAAACAGAGCCGTGCGTATTTTTTTTTTTTATTATTATTATTGTGCAATGTCTCGTCTAGCGTAGGCGATTACGATACGAGAAACAAATCTGAGATCATCAAAACCTAATTTTACATGAATTATTAACATTTAAACAAATTCCCTCAGTTACTATATATAAAATGTTTCAAGGATAAACTTTTTTAGGAAAAACTTGTTTCTTTTCATAGATCTCTAGAGTATCTCTATCCTTATTTTGTTGATGATGAAGGTCAAAAAATTAAGTGAAAAAATATATATATATATATATATTTGGAGCAATAAACTATAAATAGATTTTGATTTTTGAAAAATTATTTGTTTGAAAAATAATAAATTCGAAAACGAAAAAATGAATATATAGTCAGAGAATGATTAGAAAAAATCAGGGAGTGCGGAAATCTGGTCATATATATGCTATATATGAACAGAGAAAGTTAATAGGTGTGCACATGCTGGCAATATATAAGATAAAATTACATGAGAATTGAGACGTGAAAAATATAAAAAGAAAAAATACGCGAATATGTTAAATTGTCTTGAACAAATTATTATTTAAAAATTCATAAAAATGTTTTCTCATTTAAATCTCCTCTGATACTATATATAATCTCTAAACACAAAATGAAATAAATTACAAAAATATATATGAATAAAAAAGTAAATATAAAAATAAAATTATTAATAT